ACTTTCTCGTCTTTTTGAAAAGCTTCTCTTTGGAGTTTCTGTGAGATTTCTGCCTCCGTTCTTATCTCCGACTCCCTTCTCTGTTCTGCTTCCTTATCCAATAATTCTTTTTCTTTCCGTCTCTCTGCCTCAAAACGATCCAATTCTTTCTGTTTGGCATCTAACTGTTGTTGAAGAAGAACCACGGTATCATCTCTTTCATGCAATGTTTTTAGCTCCTGGATAAGCTCCTCAACTTTCTTATCCTTTTGAGAAGCTTGTTTCTGGAGTTCTGCAATTTCTCCCTCCATTTTCATCTCTGCCTCTTTTCTCATTGCTGCTTCCACTTCCAATAATTCCTTTACTTCTTCTGTCGTTGCCTTCATACGATCCAATTCTTCCTCTTTGGCCGTCAACTCTCTCTGTAGCAGATTTACCGCAATCTCTCTATCACGCAGTGCATCGGCGAGTATCCGAGCTTCCGCCTGCCGGATCTCTTCCTCCCTTTTTTTATCCGTTCGCTCTTTTCTCTCCCGCTGCTCTTTTGTCGCGGCATCTACTTTCGCCATAGCTTCTTTGTACTGTTCTTTATATCTGGCTTCGCGCTTTTCTCCCTCAGCGCGCACCAACTGGGTCTGTTTCATTTGATCTTGGAGTTCCATTAATTGAGCTATGATTTCATCGCCATGCTGTCCCTTCTCCTTCAAATCCTTCTCGAGATTGATGATTTTCTCTTTCAATTGTTCAATAGTCATTACATCCGCGGCTTTTTTGCCTGACAAGCCCATCTTTAATTTCTATCATGATAATTAGTATTCGTCTGAATATTCATGTCATCACAGTACTAAAATTGCGCTTACGGCAGATTTAAGAGACAGACTCACACTGGCAGCCATCAAGGTCCTGATCTCTTCGATTTGCTCCTTGGTGTATGTTCCGGCGTCCAGATCAGCTCTCATCATCATTTCAGCCTTTTCCCATTGCGCGAAGATTTCGGCCGTAGTTTCTTGTTCGGTTCTCTCAGCCAAGTCCAAACCAGGTTGAGTAACAGTGGGTGTACCTCGTATGGTCTCTGCCTTTTTCGGTGGTGGTTTTTTGTCGGTGTCTCCGGAGCCGGGTTCGATGTCTTCTCCTTTCGTTCCCTCCCCCTCTCCCTCACCCCCTCCCCCCCCCTCCTTTTTCTCCTCCTTCCGCTCTTCCCCAGGTTCACACGGTTTCTCAAAACCTGGAGCCCATGGTTCATCACCCTCCTGATCCTAAGAGGATCGATTAGTCATGCCCCCAAAAGCGATAGTTATTGGTACAGAATAATACTTACGTCCTCTGGTGGTGGAACCGCCGCCATTGTGACTAATTTCAGCAGCTACGTCTTTGAATTAGTAGATTTACCGCGACTCAGCTTTGCTTTCCGCGGGCCAGTGTTTTCCAAACCTGAAGATGAATGTTCAGACAGATGCACGTCTGCAGGTCAATATAGGGAGAATTCTTTGTGAGCGCCTTGGTTTATTGTTGTTGATGCATCCGGCACATATAGCTCTTTCTTGCAGTGTCAATCACAAAGAGAACTCACTACTCCCTCTACATACCTTGGGTTTTTTCAAAGAAATCGATTTGAAGCGCCTATGGGGCTCGTAGCTGAGCTTTAGCTATGCTCTGCTTTGAGTCTGGCTTGGAGTTCACGTTGTATTCCCCATCTCAGTTTTAATGCCAAATTAAATCTAGATGATTCCAATAAATTTAAAACTGCACACACACACTATTGTTTCACGCCAAAAAAAAAAGATCAATTTAAAAAAAAATGGTACTATAATTCCAACTGTGCCCATAAACACACAGTATCATGAAGCCTAAGCCTCCTGATTTCGTCCCCTTTTATCCTCGTCAATACGCATCTGAACCTCCCTCATCAACTCCTCCACTCTTCCCCCCCAACCCCTAACATTCACGCCCCTTACCAGCGCAATCTTTGCTTCCCTCCACCTCTTCATCTCTATAAAACACAATCCTCGATACAAATGACATTTACTAATTTCATAGAAAAGGTTCTTGTCTTCTGCAATAAATAAAGCTTCCTCCACATGTCCTAGAGCTTGATCAAGCTCGGAAATTTCGAGGAGTGCACATGATTTGATGAGTTGGAGATTGACGTACTGTTTGAAAGCACGTTTGCTTATCTCGGGTGCATCTTTTGGATGTCCCTGTTCAGCAAATGTAGGATTTGTTTGGTGATGGGCGCTGTTGTATTCGTGGGTTATTTCTGAAAGCTGTGGAAGCTCTGGAGACTCTGGAGACTCTGAAAGCTCTGAAAGCTCTGGAATGGTGTACATTGTGGATTTGCTAGGAAACTCCGATTCTGGGTTTCGGGACTTCATCTTCTGTCTGGAAAGAGTTAAAGTCAGTATTGAATGATATTACTATACCTAGGTAATGTTACTTGTTCAGGTTAAGATTCGACTCCTTGAAGAATAGCAGTATTTATATGCTTGAAATGAACAGAAATGATAATTCATACCTATGAACTATTGAATCGTCTATCATAGGACTGTACAGCATCTCCCTTTCAACCTCTACCCAAGATCCTCTTTGTCTCTCAAAACCTGACAAAGGGAACTGGCCGAACAAAAAACCTTGAGCTTAGCAATCACAAGCTGGACTTGTGTAGAATTGCCGGCTTCAAACTTTGAGTGTGGTAACTTTCTTCCAGTCAAGATAAGTTTTAACTGTGATGTAGATAAAAGGTTGTGTGTATAGTATGGTACCAAGAAACCATTACGGAGTACTTTGTTGTATTTCGCTAGGAGTTTATGATATGTGTAGTCATGACTACAGTAGCTGACCCTAGCTGAGACAAAATATAGGGAACAAAGAAAATTGCGAAATGAAGTGCCACCGCCATCAAAGTATTGGTGTAGTGGAATAAAGAAATGTGCGTGAATAAATCAATTCTTGTTTAAGTTTGAAAGAAGATGATGAAAGGATGCTTTGAGGATTTGGAAGATTGTGGAATGGAGTAAAGGTGAGAATGGATTCTGGAGTGTGCCGGGCTGGAATTTGGGAGACTCGAGTTTTCAAAGAATTGAAATATTGAAATGATAGTGGGGGAATTCATGATGACTGAACTTTGTTAATATCTTGATTTGATTGGAAATAGGAATATAGATGTTTCAACTCATTTGGGATATAAATTCTCTTTGGCAACTTCCACTTTCACGTGCACTTACTCAGACACCTTAGCTGGGATAGGTAATTGTATCTTAATAGACTTTTCTACTTGATGAATGGCCTTATGCTCCAAAGCTTTAGACTACAATTGATTATTTCACTACCTCACATTTAGATAGATACTGCATGTGAAGAATTGCAAATGTGTGTTTGGATAAGACTTATAGAAATCTTAGGTGGTGCTAGTTCAGCTATGCTCAAATGTCTATGGTTATTCATAATCCTAATCTCCAATATTAATCGGCATAGCATCATTAACCATCTATATCTAACTGAAAAATAAGTGATTGGTTTGTTTTTGAATGGTGGTTTACGAGACTTTTGGATCATGGCTGGTGCTTTGCTATAAATTTGCTAATCATGGATATTAAAGCCTAGTACCAAGATACAAAGACACTTGATAATGTTGCTGGACCAGACAGACAGTAATGTGCAAGCGTTCAGACTATATGAGGGATCAATGTGTCTGATGTTTGATTATTCTGTCAAAGTAGAAGCCCCAAATTAGAACAAACGTCCTTCGGACTTGCCTATGCCTGTATTCTGGGCATTTCGTATAGCAGATGTTTATATCCATCCCGACATGCTTCCCACCGTAAACCTCATCATTTCAAACCGGCCACTTAGAGTCAAGTCGGTACCCGAGAGCTCATGAAAGACATGAATACATCACCCTTAGCATCATCATGAAATGCAGATCTCCAACCATATTCCCCGCATTATGCTCAAGTCTTTTTGGTGAGATGGAGCTTACTGATTTCTGAATGACCGTCCAATGAAGTACGTGCAATGTAAATCATCATTATCAGTGATATCTTAAGCTTCTTGATTCAGCATGTTAAGGGAGGTGATTTTTGAATCAACAGAACAAGAATTCATCATACAGATATTGGTACCAATATCTCCTCTGTTGAATGAATAGCTATTCCACCAATTGGCCTAGCTGGGAACTTCGCCAAAAATGTTGCCTTCGTACCTGGTTTTGCTTGAAGCTCCATTGGTCGTGGAATGACCTTCACCGCCGAGGAGACTGCCATTTGCGGTCATCACATGAAGAAATATGAAGCATTTATTCGTGTCTGGCAACCTGACGCAACAAGCATTTCTATCGTCGCGACAAGATGAATGATCATGCTGGACGAATTCATCAACTTGCATTTTGACTTTACAGGATTCTTTGAGGAGCTATAACTTCGATTGATGGCTTTGTGTTTGGTTTTGCTGGATTGATATCTCTGATGGATATTGTAACGTCGATACTTCGATGCGTCTACAAGGTGAGTGTTTAGAGTGAGAGTGAGTGAGTGAGTGATGGTGATCGTAGATCTTACTTTGTTCATTGGAATATGTAGACATTGCGGTTATTCATGTTGTTTCTCCATTACTGTCTTCTTATAGACTGACGCGCATCATCCGCAAGACCTTGGATGTTCATGTAACCTACCTTGGTATAACTTTTACTATCGGAGGGTTTCTGACGGTCTTCAGAGGCTTCGTCTTCTGGCTGACAGCTAAAGAGAATACCTAAGTCTTAGAAGCATTGAGAGTTAACACCTTCACAAGAGTGGAAGCAAGATTACTTTTCCTAATAGGATCACGTGATCGTCATGAAGACAAACGGGGGAAGGAGTTGCGAAATTCTATTGGACTTTGAGCGTTTATGCGGCGGGGTCGTCCACGTTCTGTTCGAGGCCCTGAAATTTTACCCAACGCGTCAGCACGAGCACGAACCGAGCACGGCGTACAAAGTTTCATGTAGCAAGCACAACGTCTTGATCATCTTCGTTTTCCACAAAATCTGGTAACCAATCACAAAATCACGATTCGTTTGTTGCTCTGAGGTTTTTGGGATGACACGCATATCCAAGTGTTGACAGTGAACAAGGGTAGGTAGGGCGTCAAAATGAGAGCAGTATGAGCCAATACTAACGATTAGCGCAGGTATCACAGACAATTCGATTGCTTCACCAAGAGACCGAGGAAACAATGTAGCTTTTGTAGGGCGGCAGATATTCGAGCTACAGAGCGTCAAAAAATATTTCAAAATATTCAGCCAATCGACAACGACATGGCAAAGGCGCGTACCATCTCTCTTAACATGGGTATACCAGGCCAAGGGCTATAAAGCTCCACATTTTCAATATATTCACAACAATTTTCATCCCCATGTAACCAAATCATCCAGAGCTCCCGGCGTCATATAGCCCAAATATGCTCTGAAGGGGAGAGTTTACCCTTAATATCAATAATATCCAGGTAGTTATGTACCGGTACCTGGGATGAAAAGATAGAGTGATCTCGAATCTTTAGCCTTCGTCATTTCGCTTTGTTTCAATTCGTCAGATCGGGCTTAGAGACCATTGATTGCAATCTCCACTTTTAAGAACAGGCCCTCCCTCCCTCATATGGGGAAATGACTTCAACATCTCAAAACTGTTGCTTGGAGTCCCAGTCCCAGTCCCAGTCCCAGTCCCTACAGAATACTTTATTTTCTTGATGACTGGGAGGACTGGATGAAATATAGTGTGGCTTTGCAAAAAGGAACTCGTAGCGCCTGGTTCAAAAGATTGTCGTCGCCCACAATAATGCATTCTTTTTTCATCTATTGCTAAAGACATACTCTCGTCATTCTTTCGGAGAGAAAGTCGATCTTTCTTTTCTTTCCTTTTTACTTCCGTGACGTTATTACGTCTAGTCGCTCATTATTTTTCTTCTTCTTTTAATTCATTAATCATGATTCAGCGAATCATTTCCATCGCCATTTTGGCGCTTCCATTCATTGGTAAAGTTTCCGCGACAAACACATATACGTTAGTGGATGATTATTAGATGGAGTAAAATATACTGATGATTAAAAGTACCTCATCGACGTCCTCCGTAGCATGTGTTTCAACTGGTGTCATCCTTTCTGGCCAGGCCGCTTGCCCAGCATCTTCCCTTGATGCGTTTTCTACAACCAGCAACATTTCTTCAACGTCTTCTGTCGCCACCATCATTCCCACAACGTACCCGGTAGAGGTACCTCCAGTCGCTGGGGTTTTTACCACAACTACAGTTCCGTATCCCCATTCCACATCAACCATCTATGGAATAAACACTCGAATTGACGAGCTTGGATCCGTTGTTACCGAAACTGTTATTCTTTCAACTACTATATGCCCTATCACTGCTACCGAAGGAGAAGCCATTCCATCACCATCCAGCATAAGTATCGATTCGATTACAGCTATTCAAAGTACTATCACAAGCACCACATCGGCAGCTAGTCCTATTATTAGCTCGACTTCTGCTGAAGGAGTTGCCGTCAGCAGTCCACTTGCTGCTGCTTCTTCAACATTGAGTCTTGTTGCAAGTCTTTCAGCCATAACCTCAGTTGCAGTAAATACTAGCAGTACTGTTGTTATCCTTCAAACAGCTACCGTCTTACCAGAAGCCTACACAACACAAGTGTCTGAGACTGTATACGCTTGGAGCACTGTGACTACCGAAGGAACAAGCACTGTGGTCGCTTTTGACTCAAGCCCAAGTGTCTCTGCTAGTGTATCTTCTGCAGCATGCATACCTTCTGGCGGTGTTCTTTTATCTGGCCAAATAGCTTGCCCTGGTACACCGGATAGCTCGACTGATGCGCTATCTGGTGAAACTACAAGCATGGTTCCACCGGCTGCTATCACTACAGTTGCAGTTTTCAGCGAGACTGAGCCCGCTGTACCGACTACTACAGTTATTTCTCCAGCCGCTTCCAGTGTCTCACTCTCCGGTGAGACTACCAGTACATCCTCCGTTGCATGTGTAGCTTCTGGTGTCCTCCTATCCGGCGAAACAGCTTGTCCAGAAACCCCAATTAAAGCAGTAACTTCCAGTGCCCCTGTTTCCGCTCAACCATTCACCACATCTGTAACAGATATTCCTGTTCAATCTACTCCAGCTACCGAAGATGTTAGTACTTCTCAACCCTCCATCGCACTCGCACAACCCGTAACAACAACCGGCCCAACAACCTTCATTCCAACCTACGCGACGACCTCCTTCCTCACAAAACCAACTTCTGCACCCATCTTCAACTCTACCTCTTTCCCAACTATCACCCCAAGTAGCGTATCGCTAACTGGTTCTGGTATCCTCATTGACACCGCTACCCTTGGTAGCACCGAAACCTTCACATTCGCCTTACCAAGCATCTATACCCCAACTGGAACAAGCGATTCCAGTGCCGTTACCGCTTATTCATTTTCGGATTCTGGAGTTTCGAAAGTTAATGCAAGAGGAAGTTTGGTGGTTGCTTTGAGTGTTATGGTTTTAGTGTTGGTGGTTTAGATTTTTGAATCGATAACTGGATGATTCCTTGATTCCTGGGGGATTGTTGGGATTGGGGTAATTTTGATGGAGGTTTTGGGTGTAATTTAGTGGAAGGAGGGAGGGTGTGTAGTATGGATTTATACAGGACAATAGGAATAGATATCTTGTTGTTCTATTAAGTTTTTTTTTGGACTTGAGATTTGATTTTTTGATATAATCTTCATATTGTTTGAATGCCCAAAACTCACACTTACGTATTTCAACGCATCACATATTTAAGCTTGAAGAGCAGGAGTAGGCAGCAGTTTGTGACTCGATTCTCGTAGTTGCCAAGCATTTAATCACAAATCCGCATCAAATAAATAAACAAATAAATAAATCAATATACCAAGAAATTATCTACATACATACATACAAAACAAAACCTAGTTTCTAAAATACTTTTTTTGTGGAAGAATAGAAATTCTAAGCAAAGTGGCTAATTAAGTCTACATACTATCTTGGCTTGTCTTGTTTTGGTTATTAATTCCTATTGCGTCTGTTTATTATAAGTTAGGAACGCTTTTGTTGGGTTTTTTTTGTCGTGAGGGTTCGTGAGGGTTCGTGAGGGTTTGGGAGGGTTGGTGGGAATTATGGGGGGTTTGTTTGTGGTATGGTGATGGATGTCGGAGTCTGATTTATGTGTTTGGGTTTGAGGTTTGCGGTGGTGGAGGTGGTTGGGATGGTTGTGTTGGGTGAGCTGGTTGAGCTGCCTGGGCCGCCTGCGCTGATTGTGCTGGTTATGCCGGTTGAGCTGGTTGAGCTGCCTGCGTCGCCTGGATCAATTAGGTTAAGGCTTTGGACTAGGCTTGAGTATGGATGTTTTGAAAAGAAATAGGCATACCAAAACACATTGATTACAGAGAGCTTGTACGGTGTGCCGAGGTCCCCGTCTTATATGGATGGCCATCATGACCGGGGATCTAGAAGCCCACAGCTGTTCCCAGAGGCATGGTACCCTATAATTCAACTGGTGATCGCAAAGGTAAGTTACAGTTATGTCTTTACACATCTCTTCCTTGTAAAAGCAACTAGACTCTTTTCCCAACTGCGCAAATCCGATAGTGCGATTTTGCTGCTGGACCAGAGGGACTCTTTGCATTGATCCCATGGTTTATGAGACTTATTTAGATTATTATATCTTCCATTCTCTACAATGAATACTTCATGGTCAAAGAAGTTAAAGATATATCTTCTAAGCAGGGATCAATGATGAGCATTGAGAAGATATCTCAAAGAACGAACAAGGCAATTCCATGGCATTAGTTAGTTTCATTCTTTGGAACAAGCTGGAGATACGTGCAGTAGACAATTTCATCACATCTGGCTCCCTTAATTCAGAGTAAAGCTCATGTAAAGTGAGGTCTTTCAGGGGAATTCTCATTTGTTTGCGGAGAATCTACTAGCGATGTCTATGCCTTATTTTTCATTATGGATATTCATCATTGTTCTCAATATAGCTGGGTGCTAGCATCTATCATAAAACTTCTTTCATGGCCTATACTTATTATATCACCCTGAGCACAATGATCTCATTAAGCTAATTAGACGAGCATTGGTATTGCCCTGAGACTTCACATCAAAGGGGGTTTAAGCGAAATTTCCAGTTAAAGATTGGAGGCATTAGTGTTTGCATTGTGTATTAAGCACAATGAGACAGATTCTTTTCTCGAAATGGCAGCATTACAGCTATCGGGCTTACGCATATCAAAGCTTCTCTATGCTTATTTATAACAATATCGTACAGTTTAGTCACTTGCACATGATATTTAAGCCTTTGTTCGTGATTCTCAATGATCAAACAGCTGATAAGAATTTGAGTCTATCTACAAATTTCAGAAATACAAAAGAACATAATTAGTTTCCTTATTTTAAGTATTTACATCCCAAACTATATAACGCATCGACGAATATCTAGATAAGTTTCAAAGTGTTTTCCCGCGCCGTTCGAAATATCCTACTATTTGAACGAGCTGCACAAATCCCCAAGCGTTCATAAGCCTCAGAATCCTGGTATAGTTTGAAGACAAGAATGTGTAACCAATGATTTCGCGATCCAAAGCTAATTCCGTATTGGTTGGAGGTTCCGACAAGTAAGCAACATACTTTATCACCATCCGTGGTTCCGGACTGGGAAAGCGTACAATCCAGAGCAAATCCGAGAGAATCTTTGTGGTGAACTTGTGAGAACTCGAGCGTAGTGTCGTTTAAGGTGCGATCATGCTTGTGGTAGCCGTGGAATATTCTAGCGCTAATAGTCAATCCCCGGATAATTAGATATGCAGGTTCCGGATTCTTCAAAGAATCTATGGCTAACATAGGAATATTCGTATGAACATATGCAAAACGGTCATGCGCCTTAAAAGAATCTTCATAAAGAAGTAGAAAGTTAATTGGTGTGTCCTTTCGATCCGATACGAGAGATGCCCAAGACCAAGTAGGGGCAAATTTCGATTCGGAGGTGTATCGGTATATATTTAGATTGTGGTCATGTTCAAATGACAATGGCTTGCTACATTCCATAAAAGACCTCTAGCGAGATCACTCAGCCATATCCCAGCCAGATAACGGGATTCAAGGCGGTCCTGAAAGATTTTTGCTATTCCAATAAGAGCTACCAATCTATCTCTATCATATGTAATGAGTAGTTTCGAATACTCGTTGATCAGACCAAGCCAGCGATCTAGAATATGACGTCTATCTAGCGAATTGATATCGGCTAGCTTTGATCTGGACGTTTTGTACATATTTTCAAGACCGGTACATTCACAGCGAAGACCAGATTTACATTCCATGATTAGTTCCGTTGGATGGAAATGAATAGTCCGTGGCGCCAATTGTCGCTCTTGAAATATCCACGCTCTTGATAGTAGTGATGTGATTTCGTGGTCTGCAGGATCGGTTTCGCGATTTCTCTTGCGGATGTTGAATCGTTGGTGGACTGCATGAAATGAAGGCCGGATATAGACCACGTTGTTTTCGTGGGATACATTACTCGCATTGATAGGTAATGCTCTAAGATCTGATATTATACCGTGCCGCAAGCTCCGAGTATTGAGACAGCCTTCTGTACTGTCTGATGCCGCTGTCGCAGCAATATTCAAATAACCTTTAAAGTATATTCTGGCCATCTGAGTCGCTTGTTCTTTCCAGTCTTCGTCATCATGCTGAATGATACATAAGCTATCAATCCATACATAGCGAATACGAAGTGTTCGGAGTATTGTAACAACATCTGCAAATGTCTTTGGGAGATCGCATATTTCGATACCTGTCTTAATATGTTTCTGAAGAGTTTGTCTATTAGTTTGAATGAAATGAGAATTTCCCCAACGATGGCTTAGAGTTGCGTATAACTCGGTAGCATCAACAAAATGCATAGTTTCAACCAGCCGAATCGATTGCCCTTGTTCACCGCTCAAATCTAATAATCGGCTGGGTACAAATGGTACACCATCATCTTGTAAGGAGCAGATTGTATGGTTTTCGCAACAATCGTTGACCCATCGTTGGATAATCTCTGCGTAACTTTCGACTGTGATCTGAGGATGAGTTTCTTCCGCCACGCCAAAGTGACTCGGCCCAGAGTTGGAGTTTGGAACAGTCGTTTGGTCTTTTGTGTTTAGTGTACATTTCAGCTTGACTTGAACTTTTTCCAGAACTGACCTGATAAGGTATAAAACTCAAACTCAAGATATCCTCGCGGTACCAACGGACGAAGTTGTCGCTTTGGCCGTTTAGCAAGCCTTATCAGAGCGCTCAAATTTGTGAATGATCTCAGTAGACCAGGTTGTTTGCGATTTGGAATTTCTCCCTCTTGCTCAACTGGAGCCACCGCGACTCGTAGTGGACAATCTTGACGTTTATATATCTCAATCTCAATCTCCTTAGACGAGTCGAAAGTTGTCAGCTTTTGGCTCATGATATCTAGACCTTCTTTGATTTTGCAACAATTGGGACAAGATAATTTTACTCCATGATTGATTTACCAGGAATTGAGTTGGAGATGCTGTCCCTCCGTAGAATCAACATCAAAGTAAAGACACCATTTTGTTCTCACTCTTCTCGAGTACGGGTTGAGATCAAAGCAGACAGGACATTTTCGAGATCGGTGCATAAATAAAGTTTATTAGTTGAATCTATATTTCACGTTGTGAGATAATATATTTGAGAGGCGAGTTCTAAGGCTGCTGTACTTTAAAATTCAAGTTTTCACGAGTCGAAAGCCCTCGAGGAACTCTAATCTTTATTTAAAGGGTAATAGATAGAACTTCCTTCGAATTGAACCACGTTATATTCCATAGCCTTAACCCAGAATTCGCAAGCTTATTTTAAAGATTCGGAAAACTGCAGGGTTTTCGTGTTACTATTAGAACACAGCACCACCACTAATCGTATTATTAATAACAACATCGGCGAATTTACCTTGTGAATACAATGGAGTATAACAACTGGTATCAGCAAGACCTGCAAACAAGGCTGAATCTAAGCACAACATGATGATGTCAATGTAAATAATACGCCGTGTCACAGATACAGGCAGGCATTGTGCTGATATCCGCAAAATGCAAGCTTCTTGGTAACGCGCATGATGCTATATGAGGCTATGCAAGAATGGTCTCAGCTTAGTATGCTAGTCTATAGGAGGTGTATGTGTTATTGTACTACCGATACTTTCTGTCCAAAATTGGATCTTTATGATTAAGATTTCTAGAAGAAGCATCTGTGGTGGTAAGGTGGAAATTTAAAATTTGTATGGTGTACTTATAACCTAAATCTAAAGGATTAGACTTGGTGTGGAGTTTCGCTAAAAATGTGTCTTGCAATGATAAAACATAGGGGGAGACCATGATGTACAACGAAGTGATCACGAGAATATAGCAAAAACCTGAAAGCTGGATAGTCCTACAGTCATAAATTTCCAAATAATAGAATATAACGCCTTATTCCTAGTAATAAATCTAGCGAAAGCTGATTCCAGAAGAGATTATTCATGGAAAGATTTTCAGATTGTTGCTCTACATTGCTTCGAATGAACGAATTTTTGGCATCTCTCACCGTGAAAAGGCGTGGAAATTCACAGTAGTTCATATCCTTTTTTGTTGCAAAAATGGTGATATTTATAAGTAATAACGATATCGAGGGATTACTCATGACCCATGGGGAGGATTTTCTTTAATCTTTCTCCGATGCTGTCGTTAGATGTAGCATGGATTACTGATATCTTGAACCTCAAGCAAGAAACACTACTTCGAAGGATATATTCAAAATGACTATCTGGAAAGTTTCATATGTAAGCCATGGTGAGCGATGACTGAAAGAACCCGATTATAACATCGAAATGGTATCAAAGTGCCCTGGGAGTGGCAATATAATCTAAAATGTTGACAAGATAGGAAGCATTTATTGTTTTCATCATGACTTGTATCAAAACAGCTACAGAACGATAAGTTGGCTGAGAGTTCTTGCGAGGATTAAACCCATAATTGGTTATTCTATGCTTCTCCCATCTAAGAATCATGCATCTCGATTAACAACCCTAAAGAAAAAGGAGGTGAGTTCTTCCTGCTTCTCTTGCTTTCAAGAGTATATCCCGGTAAATTCCTGCGTTCATCCTTTCACAATATTTGAATTACAATTCTCATCTCAAGAATCTAAATTCTTCGAGAAATTCCCATGTTCATTTTTTCATGACACCTTCCTTTTTATCTTGGCTACAAATACATACAGTGAGTGTCGCACTCAACCTATTCTCCATCCCGGAATCACATCTACGAAAATTACCTAAATAGAGCTTTCTATCCCATCCAGACATGTGCAGGGAATTAAAACACGCATAAATCTACTGTCTCCCGCACTGGGCCGAGATGGGAGACTTCGGAGGAAAATCTTACCACTGGATGATATGCCAGGAATTCGAACGTACCAGGCAGCGTTGGGATAATCCGATATTCAGACTAACCTTGTCTTTGTAGCAGGAAATTGTGCTGATTATAATCGACAACATGCTGGCTATTTTTAAGTTACTAAGCATATGTTGTGATGAGTCGAAATATTAATTAGGCAAAAGAAGGCACCCTGACCAACAGAGAAATACAGCTACTGGTTCACTTGCAAGGAGATGTACAAACAGTAGACGAAAGACGGGGATATGGACAAGCAAGCACAGAACAGAATATCGTTCCTTCCGATCAGCTTCAGCGTACGCCAAACCATAATTATGATTCATCCCCATGGCCATGAGGTTATTTGCAGGACCAAGCTGTAAATTCGATGTATCAAGATAACAATGGAGTCCCACCATTGGGAGCATGTGAGCGTTCTTCCGTCCCACCTCCAATGCCAACCTTTAGAATCAGATCATCATCAATAAACAGGGAGTTAGAGATGTCAGAGAATAGTGCAGGGCAAGAAAGCTACCAAGAACAGGATATGCTTTCGAATCGCCACGAATCAATATCTTATGGTTCAGCTCGGGATATTCAAATCAAGAGTATGTAAGTAAAGGTTTGTATAAACTCAGGTGGTGGGTAGATAGGTATTAACAAGTAACAAGCAGCGTCGGGGATCAAAGCAGCGGAGGGATCCTACAAGTAATTTGCGCCGCGATATTTAATTTTTTTAAAGGAAGTAATAAAATAAGCATAAGGGATACCAAGGGCAGGAACTTAAGATACACGGGGAAAAGGAAGAGCCCGAACGCATAGACGAGAGCGTTGCATTGGGTGAATTGCGAATACGACTGTGGATAGGTATTAGGAGATGAGAATTTATTAGTATTCATACTGAACCTAGACTTTGTGATACTATACATCTAGATGTAGAGACGATTGCTTATAGCTAGTAGGCTGAGATATCTCGAAACTATTCGATGAGGATCTTGAAGAGTCTCGATCTAAATATCTAACGGAATGCGATAATGTAGACGGATACTTCGCACAGAAGTGTGCTCATTGTCTGTTAGAATAAAGCCTTCGATATTCCAATGAGTTGGTTTGCGCGGGAGCAAAGACATAAAGAATGAATAACCAATGTATCAACGAACGTCGGTCGGTATAGCTATGCACAAATAGATTACTACTAACCTATAAGCCGAGGAATTGAGACTAATCAATCCCCTTAATCGTCATTGTCTCCTCCCGAATGGACCGTGCCCGCCCCGAAATCAACAAGCAATTACACCAATCAAAGGAGGGATAAATTGTTCAACAAATGTAACGAGTAGTGCGCTGAGGTTTGTTTACCCTTATGCTTGCAGATACTGAAACTCGCAAAGGGGTCCACTTCTCAAAAGTGGGATATCATTTCATTCTTTATGGGTTGAATCCCAACCTCCTGTCACCACTCTCATTCCAGCAGTTGACGGATCGAGGAAACAATAGTAAGGAAGACTTAGCATCTAATCCAAATAGTCAGTCAGGTATTTGTGGTGAAGAGAACAGCATACCGAATATGAATTAATAGACACTTACTCCGTATGCACTCATGCACTCATGAATTCATAAACATACCATACATACGGAGTATATCTAGCACACGCGTCGAAGCAAGCTCCTCCCCAATTCCGCACTTTGTTTGGCCAACCATCATAAACAACCCGCTTTAAAATGGTAATCCTGTGGATATGTTTAAGAGCGGAGGTGGAGCGGATAGGAAGCGAACGGCAAAAGTTAAACCCGGATTGTGTCTCAAATGTAACCAATCAAAGTTCGACAATGGATCCGAAATCTGGGGTAGTCTACCTCGGTGATCGACAATTATCTCGGCAGCTTTCCCCGGTGAAGATATTACTTTCCTTTACTCGAGTACTTGTTCTTGGACCAATGCTTCCGTTTTCCTTTTAATCCTTTCCATTGAAGCTTTTCAAATATTTGTAACCCTTGGGCGTTTGTTTTGGCAGCTGTTGGTAGATGTTCTTGAGATATATGCCAAGTGTATAGATATATTGGTACAGTTTTGAACCCGACATTATGGCGCTCGGTATGTGTTTCCATTAGCACAATGTTATCCGTCTTCGCATTTTTACAGCCACGACGGTGTACACCCTATTTCCCATTTCTCCAAGTTCTTAAATAAATCAGCCCTACGATTCACGACTGCAGAAAGGGGGGGGGGTTCTTAATGCTCAAACAGATACTAATGATGAATAGCAACGGCAGTCGCAGCAGGTACAACCGCTGCGGCGATGTATCTCGATGGCAGATATTCTATAACAAAAGATTTGAACGATAAATTAAAAATGAGAAGGGCGACGAAATTACTCGCAGAAGCTGGTAAGTCTCAACCGCAAATCATATCATTCATCTCTAAACATATCCGTGTAGAGAAGAACAAAAGATTATGTCTATATTACCTGTTCGAGGACAGCGTCAAAGCCCACCCAAATGCAGAATGTATATGGTCTCGTGAAGGATGCTACACCTGGGCAGAATCCTACGATCGAGTAAACCAATATGGACAATGGTATCTTTCGCAAGGCGTGAAGCCCGGTGATTTAGTGGCATTTTATCTCCAGAATTCTCCCGACTTTTTGTTTGCATGGTTGGGATTATGGTCGATTGGAGCTGCTCCGGCTATGATTAATCACAATTTGGCTGGGAAAGCTTTAATTCATTGTATCAAGGTTCCGAATGCAAAACTCATTTTGGTCGATGATGATGAGGAATTGAAAGCTAGGATTGAAGAGGAGAAAGAGACGTTGGAGGGAGAGCTTGGGATTAAGATTCTGGTTATGGATTCTACGGTGCGATCGGAAATTCGAAGTACAAAGACCGATAGACCAGAAGATGTTTATAGAGAAGAAGTTAAAGCAAAGTCGCCTTTGGGATTGTTATATACTAGGTTGGTATTTGAAGCAGGCTGGGAGAATCTGATAGCTAATCTATCTCAAGTGGAACTACAGGATTACCAAAAGGCTGTACTTTCCATGTGGCAAGAGGCTATATGGCGGGTATCTCGGTGAGTCGGAGATTTAAGGATGAGCATTGCGAGGGTTGCTGACAATTTTTATAGAGAGCAGCTGGTCTCTCCCCAGTAAGAGACGACGATCGATGGTACAATTGTATGCCTCTGTATCACGGAACCGGCGGTATTACAGCCGTATCCAACATAATGGGTGGCGTAACGAATTGCATCGGCAAGAAATTCAGCACCTCCAAATTCTGGGGAGATATAAGAGATTCAAGAGCTACATGGTTCACATACGTTGGAGAAACGGCTCGATATCTCCTCGCTGCACCTCCTTCTCCTCAGGATAAAGATCACTGCGTACGTGTTATGTATGGAAATGGTATGCGTCCTGATGTATGGTATAAATTCAAGAATCGATTTGGGGTACCGGAAGTTATAGAATTTTTCAACAGTACCGAAGGAGTATTCACTCTCACGAATCACGCGCGTGGAGACTATTTAGCCACCGCCGTGGGGCACCATGGACTTATCTCTAGATGGCAGTTTCGCGATCTTTATATTCCCGTCAAGGTGGACGATGTTACTGGTGCCATTGCTCGAGATCCAAAGACTGGCTTCGCTATTCGAGAAACATTTGAGAAAGGTGGTGAGATCATCGTTGCTGTTCCTGATACAAATGTATTTGCAGGCTATTTCAACAATCCCGAAGCAACGGATAAAAAATATGAGAGGGATGTGTTTAAGAAAGGAGATCTTTATTACAGAACTGGAGATGCTTTAAGAAGGGATAAGGATGGGAGATGGTATTTCTTGGATCGATTGGGAGATACCTTCCGTTGGAAGGGAGAGAATGTCAGTACGGCTGAGGTTGCAGAGGTCTTAGGAAAATACGATGGAGTTGTGGAAGCTATCGTCTATGGTGTTCAATTACCATCTCATGATGGTCGAGCCGGGTGCGCAGCAGTATTCATCGATCCAAGCATTACCAATTTTGATTTTGCCGGGCTTCTTAAGTAAGTATTTCACGATCTCTAGATTTACACATCCTCCCCTCCCCCAACCCACCATCCATTCTACATAACCCCAAACCCAAACTAACAAATTCAAGACATACACGCAAACACCTACCCAAATACGCCGTTCCAATTTTCCTCCGCATCGTCAAGGAAATGGTTCCTATCCATAATAATAAACAGAATAAAACGCCGCTACGTGAACAGGGTGTTGAGCATGATAAGGTTAAGGAGGAGGATAAATTGTTGTGGATAGAAGAAAAGGGGAAGGGAAATACATATGTAGAATTCCATCGGGATCATTGGACGGATTTGGAACTTGGGAAAGCGAGATTGTGATGTTTGGTTTGGGTCAGAATGCTTGTGTGTGGTTGTGATTGTGGTTGTAGTTGGTTGGATATGAGGGATTTAGATATTGGATATTAGCCGCTAGTTTGGTATACATATGTGTGTGTGTGTATGTGAGAGAAATCTGTAAGTTCCTATATAGAAAGTTATATATATACTCATGGGCAAAAATTTCGAATTACTGTCATTCATCCCGCCTACTCGTATAACATATAATAATTAGAACCTTTAATGCACACACTCAACACACCATTCCCTCCCCAAACCCCTCAGAATCTCCCAAATATCAACCCATTTATATTCCCGAACCCCAAACTAAGACTTACACTTACAAAAACAAACAACGCAATAACCTATCTCAATCCAAGCAAAAGCAAGTCCATCCCAGCAATAATGCTGATGGACGTATTATCTAAAAAACATCCAATTTAACCCACCCCGCCCTCGATCGGTATTCGAGTAACCTTACCTTACCTACCTAATATTCCAATTTCATTTTCCGAGTTTAAGGATAAGTTTCGGATTCTATATATTACCTATTGAAAGTGATAGTGAAAGTAATGGCTAGGTGTATGTATGTACTCCGTATATATGTAGATACCAGTCCGATGTCCTAAGTGTAGTAATTGAACATACCTAGTAACTATATTATACTTGCTCTATTGCATCTGGATATATTATATATATCCGATTGTGGATGGATTAACTTTATTAGCTAGGTATAGCTAGCGTAATGAATGGTATCTACAATATAAAAGCTCAAGCACACATATTTGAAATCTAGTACGAGAGAATACCAATCTCTCATCCATAGTCCCAGGGCATAAAAGAAAAGAACCTAGAACTCGGCCTCAGTACGTTATGGACGTAAGCAATTATCGACTTCGAAACCCCGATGTAAAATTGGGTATATTGGTTGCGCATCTAGATTCTCTGTGGATTATTTACATGGTTTGAGAAGAACACATTGGTGAACATACAAGATGGCTCATATACATGGAAGCAACTAATATTCCTAGCAGTAGGTAGCAAACTGGAAAGGTACACACGGATAGAGACATCATGTTCAGTAAAATACGGTATATAATATATGATTTGATTGTATGAAAGCTACCAAAAGCGTAAATTGAAAGATGTACACCTTAACAGCCCAAATAACTTCCTTACGAATGCTGTACTCATCACTAGCCATTACTTGTGACATAAACCTGATCATGTCAAAACCCCTCAACGATACTCCGCAGATAGCCATGAGGGGGATTTCTCTTAGTTCATTGTAGTATATGGCATTGGTGCCTCTAAACTTTCAGCCAGTTAGCAAAAGCTTCAATAAGTTTAGCAATTAAGGGAGAAAATTGAATTTTGTTGTGCTCATAGATCTTGGTTAAGTTGAATTTTCATGACTCCGGAGAGTTCAGTATTTTCAGTGCATTTTTCTTAATCATAGTAGGAAGTAGGATAAGATGCTGCGCAATGAATAGTTGTAACATACCTTACGAGAAAAACATCAAAACCGTTGATCATATATGTTAGTTATCGATATGAAATGTGTAGCAAGTTGTTTGGTAGCGTGGGCGAGGCTAAGAGATCCTAATACTTCGAACTGTTAATGAAAGGTTCAATCAAGATTGTACCAAGACATAAATAATTGTGTATAAGAAATCAGAATATGTAAGAATGAATTTCATCCACTCGCAAGATATAGCGACCCCGGCGAGGGTGCCATCAAAGTGAGGTCAATCGCAAATTATCTCATCATTAAAATAGAGAAGGGCGGTTGGAGGAATAGAGATTGTACGAACCTTATACCTGTGTTGACACAGAGATGCACTCAATGAGACGCATTGTGCGAGAATGAATCAATTCAAGCAATCAATTCTTGATGTTTTCGTCGTTGTCTGTGAGGTTGAAAAAGGACGAAGAAACTGATAGGAAGAAATTTTTTATAAGATTTCAAAGTTCCATGCGAAAGCTTTGATCTATCCAAAAGAACGCTAAGTCGATCTAGCTCTAGCTTCACCCAGCACGTGCTTATATGAGTTGCTGGCCCAAATACTAAATGATGCCTAAGGAATAACTTCTAAATCTCTAGGGCCATTTCGCTTAGATTTTATTCCCACGGTGACATTTTCGATTTTCGCATTTTGAAAGTAATCGACAACTAAACATCGACAAATCCTCGACCAACGACGCCCCGTAGGTTATCTTCAATTGTACACTCGATTGATTGAACTTCTAGAATTCATCAACTAATACACTCTTTTCAGAAGATTTCACAATGGGTGACGCAGATATCAAAGCATCTTCCTGGAGACTGGTTGAGGTCGGCCGTGTCGTCCTCGTAACTGGAGGACCACACGATGGCAAGCTTGCCGCGATCGTTGAGATCATCGACCACAAGCGCGTATGTACAAATGGTGAAGGTTTGGGGAAAGAGGTTGAAATCTAACACCAAAAATAGGCTCTTATCGATGGCCCAGCAACCGACAAACTCGCCGCCGTTCCAAGACAGGCAATCTCTCTCGCCAATGTCGTTCTCACACCTCTCGTCCTTAAGGGTCTTCCAAGAGCCTGTCGCACCGGTGTTGTTCAAAAGGAGTGGGAGAAAGCTGGTATCGAGAAGTTGTGGCAACAAAGCCCATGGGCACAAAAGCGTGAGAAGCAAGCCAAGAGAGCTGCTTTGACAGATTTCGAACGATTCAAGGTTATGAGATTGAGGAAGCGGGCTGGATTCCAAGTTAAGGTCGCCCGGGCTAAGCTTGCCGCGGCATAGATTTGGGAATGGGATATTTGAGAGCGCAAGCAAAACTACTCAAGGGTTGATGGGTTCCTTTGCTCTTAAGTGAGCTTTGTATCCTACGTCAATTTTACCGGCGTAATGAGCATATGGACTTCAAAAATACCTCCAAACCAATTCTCTCTAGATCTGAATACTGGGCGTTATTTTGAGTGTGATTTGGTTCTGGAACTTTGAATTATCCTCCACATGAGAGTTGCGGGATATTTTCTGCACAATGAACTAGGAGCCATTGTACTGCTTTATCGGACAAATCCATAAGCTGATACTAATAATTTAACAACCATGATATGATGTTAAATGCACTTTGACCCAGTCTGACGTCGTCAAGAAATTGTACCCCAAGAAATGCCCCAGCCCCAACCTCAACTAGAATACATACATGTAGGCCCATGTTTTGATTAACTAATCTTAGCGAAACTGTCACAACCCTAATAAACTACAACAGCGACAACTCCAATAATTGATTCAATAAGTTCCTACATCATATCATTGCCTTCTTGTAAACTCAGGTTAGTGAAACCATTATGTTCACAATGTTCATCAGCCTTGCGGTTGTGGAGTTTTCCGCCGTACAAGGAAACTGGCCCCCAATTTCTTTAGCGCACGCACAAAATTTTGGAAAACCAAAACAACGACAATAACATCAAATTTCTAACAACTTTTAGCACAGCCAAAACCACTACCCAAAATGTCGAACCCACGTATTGAGGAACTCCCAGATAACGAGGAGCCAACCAAGCAACAAGTTACCGCAGAAGATGAGGGATCCGATAGCTCTGACTCCGAGGGAGAGGGAGAGGTAGAGTCTGGTATTCCAGCAGGTGCTGGAGCAGTTGTTCACTCTCGAAACGAGAAGAAGGCACGCAAGTCAATTGCTAAGCTCGGTCTTACAAGAGTTCCTGGGATTACCAGAGTCACTTTGAGACGACCAAAGAACGTAAGAAAATTTTAGTTGGTTTGCGATTCATTAAGGAAGTTCTTGCGATCAAGACGTGGAGCTGTGCACCAGCTTCACCACCGCGGGGTAGCTTTGATAGAACTGGAGCATAAATTTGTTACTCTCTGCTGATCATATATTGTCTTATAGATTCTCTTTGTCATCAACAACCCAGAGGTTTACAAGTCCCCAACCAGCAACACCTACATGTATGCAACTTCTACCCCGCATTTCAAAATCACAGTTTAGTCTAATAATTTACCTCAGTGTCTTTGGTGAGGCTAAGATTGAGGATCTTAACTCTCAAGCTCAAGCTTCTGCTGCCGCACAATTGGCTGCTCAAGAATCTCACGACCACGCCGGTCACGACCACTCTGGCCACGACCACTCCCACGATCACGGAAAGGGCAAGGCTGTTGACACCGGTGATGAGAAGAAGGAAGAGGAAGAAGATGACACAGAGGAGGTCGATGCTACTGGACTTGAGGACAAGGATATTGAGTTGGTCATGACCCAAGCCAGTGTCTCGCGCAACAAGGCTGTGAAGGCATTGAAAGAGAATGACAATGATATAGTCAATTCTATCATGGCTCTAAGCATATAGTTCTAAGCTAGCTTAGCTAAATCTTTATGGATTGCTGTTCTAGGTTGACATTCTATGAATGGATGGCAATGGTATTACGTGGACATAGAACGACATACATACCTGAATGAATTTCAGGAGTGCTATATAGTACGATTGCAATTCAATTCTATGCCACCTTCATGTGCATCATCTCCGCAATCAATTATTTTCAAATGTAACTCTGTGGCAATGCAAATTTGTCAGGTGTATCCCGTATGAATGGCTATCTTATAGTTACGTGAATTATAAAAATATGCCACTTCGATTTCCAAAACTTAATTCTGTTCGCTCAATTCGAGATCCTCCATCAGGCTGAACACTGTGTAAGTCACGTGACTATCTATTTTCTTGCTCGAACCGAGACTTGCAGCTTTTGACGACGAAGTCAACAACATCTCAGTTCTCCACTCCCTAATCATACCAACACCTTCACAATGGCAGCCGGAGTAAGTTGAATCTCTTAATTGAAGCCCTACTGCTATTAATCGAAATTTACCGCCAAACCTCGCCGTCTTGCAGACTTTGCAACCCTTCCGAAGAATTCCGAGGACTTCTGGCCGGACCTTCACTCCCCTCGAGCTCGTTGAGTGTGAGATTATTACTGACCAATCTACTCCTACAGCGCAGCGCAGCCCTCAAACTTGACTGGGCCAAAGTTTCCCAATCCCTCGGACTCAAGGGAGCCACCGCGTCCTCTCTCCAAGCTTTCAAGAAGCGCAACGAAGATGCCCGTCGCCGCGTGCAAGCTCTTTCTGAGCAACCTACCAAAGTAGACTTCGCACACTACAGATCGATTCTCAAGAACACCGCTGTTGTCGACGAAATTGAGAAGCATTTCTCCACATTCAAGCCAGCAACATATGATGTAGCTAGACAGATTAAGGCGATTGAGACCTTTGAGGCACAAGCTATCAAGAACGCAGAAGAGACAAAGGGCAGAGTGGACTTGGAATTGAAGGACTTACAGAAGACATTGAAGAATATCGAGGAGGCTAGACCATTCGAGGATTTGACTGTGGTATGTAGTGGCTCTAGAAAGGAATGGGGAAAGACAAAGGAAAGAAATGGGGTTGGCTAATATGTTATGTGTGTCAATAGGATGAAGTTGCTGCTGCTCGCCCAGATATTGACGAGAAGACTGCTCAACTCGTTTCCAAGGGTCGCTGGGGTGTTCCAGGTTACAAGGTACGTTTTGAAGTTTTATATGTTTGTTGTTTGGGATGACGCGGCTGCTAATATATTTATAGGAGAAATTCGGCGATCTTTCTATGCTTTAGATGGAATAGATTTGAGCTCCCCTTTTCTTTGTTACCTGCACTGTTGTAGATAAGGACCGGTGGTGGAAGAATCAACATCATGGTGGTTGAATGTTTAAAGCCAAGTTGGCTAATCATGATATTGTTTTCCTCAACTTATTGAACTACTGATGAATTTGTTGTTTTGATTGAATGCTGTCAGAAAGATCATCAAATTAAACCTCTGAGATGCTGGGACTGCATGTAGATGATATTAGTCACTCTTGGAGTCATGAGGAATGAATTTGAAAAAGCAAAGCATCATCCAAAAGCGAGTCAAACTAGCCACGAATACTAAAATATCCACCTATTTTCAATCCAGAATCTTCAGACTGGGCTAGACACACAGCCGTAAAGTATAAACAGTCCATGATCGCTTTGAGCATGCAGATTCATGTTCCACGCTACCTCTATGCCATTCAAACAGCCATTTTGCGGAAGAGGGTTCTACTTGCCTTCACGTCATAAAACCTTCAAACCCTTTCCACAATCCATTTACACGTGTTGCCGTTGCGCTTCTACTCGCAGCTTTCTAGAATCTATGTTGTAATCCTTGTTCAAACATTCAGCCTCTACTATATAATCGCATTCAAACATTGAGTCTCGCTTCCGCATAAAAACATACTGGAGCTTTGGATCTCCGTTGCACATTTTAAGAACATTTAGTTCCATCTATACCTGGAAGGAAAGACTAGTCTCGATTATTTTATTTGACTCATCTCACAACCTAATCTCCTCACTCCACTCCACCCAATCCATTTCTCCCTTCGCCCGACTCTCTCTATCATCAACTTCATCTGCATCATCCAAAACCCACTTTGCCCCTTTAACCAATTCCATCTCAGCCTGCTGAGCTGCATCCAATATCATACCTTTCAACCAAAACGTATGCGGCCATCCTACTTCAACTCGAATCTTCACTTCGTTTCCTCTTTCTCTTAATCCAAGTCCTAGACATATCCCATCGGAATAATAAATATCGTTTGTGCAAAGCTGGAAGAACCATTTCATTTTGATGTTTTCCGGTCCTGCATTTTCGGGTTTAGATGCTTCTGCAAATTTCGAAGTCTTAAGCTTCGATATCTCAGCCAACATCTCCAAAGGCATCTTATATTCCCTAACTCTATTCTCCTTCGTCACAGCCGCTTTATCCAATATTCCCGTATAAAACTCCTCCTTCATACTCGTGTGCATATGTTTCCATTCTTCAGGGATACTTATCCCATTTTCCGTCGCATCACATGTTACGGGACATCTCAATATAACACCCAATATCCTCTCTCCTTTTCCTTCTCGTAAAGCAATTAATGCAATAGTAGCAGCTAATTGTCCCCCGCTAGAACTCCCCACTAATATGAATTTTCGACCGAGATAAAGAGAAGAGAGGTGGGAAAAAGAAACCAGAGCATCGGATACAGCGTCATCGGCGCGGAAATCCGGTAGTAGACGGTAAGATATTGAGAGGAGGGGGAGGGAGAGTGAAATACTTAGTTGGCGACATGTTAATTCTTCGGAGTCGAGATCACCGACGTATAGACCTCCGCCGTGGAAATAGATGATTAGGGGTTTGGAATCGGACCCGTGGAGTGCACGTGGTGTGTAGAGACGAGTGGGTATGTTGTGAGTGCTGCAGGGAATGCATGATGATGTTATGAGGAGGTTTTTGGTGAGGTGTGTCAGAGATGTGCGGAGGAGGTGCGTGTTTTGATTCGTGCAGTTTTGGCTGTATGTGGATTTGCGGATGTGGGGGAAGGGAGAGGTATTAGGGGGTGGGAGGTGTGGGATGTGAGATACCCAGGTTGGGTGCAGAGGAGGAGGATGGGTGAGGATTAAAGGGTTGGTGTTGGTTTCGGGGTTGAGGTTGGTAGACATAGTGGATGTAATGTGATTTGAATTGTAGGATTCGTGAGCTTCAAGTATTGTGTAGAAAGTAATAGATTTGGAGTGAAAGGAATCTTTGATATAGATCGAAATGATAGTTGATGGATATTAGACCTGGGTTATACTAAACATTCAAGGGTAATTAATCATTGCAGATTTAGACGGAAGAACTGTTAGCAGCATTTTATACGTGATCATTCATTTTATAAGCACATAGTTCGACATAATGGCGCCTGTTCATTTACAGGTGTTGTTCCGGGGGATGAATAATTTGTGGGGCATCGAAAGGCAAACCAGGCTTTGATTGCGTTCTGTGAGTCTCGTACTTTTTTATGCAGGGGCTTTGGTGTCCCTTTTCTGACGCGGGATCAATCCACTATGCTAGTTATGGTACTTCTTTTTGCACAGTTGCAGCAAACATCTGGAATGTTTCTTGCATTTCTGAATTGTAGATAGATTGGTTTTATAAATTCCCATTACTGTTATGATATACCTGAGATGGGAGGAAATTCAAAACACGTCTAATCCATCGGGTCTCCCATATTTGACAGAAATCCAATTCGCCTTATATCCAACACATATCACAAATATTCGTGTCCTTCCTTGCTTACAAGACGGCTTCGTGGGTATACATCCTTTCATATCCAAATTACTGCTGGTGGAAGCGACGAGCTCAATTATGCGTCCTCAATTACGATTCATCTCTTCCATCCAGTAACTTAAAATCTTCTGAAACAATGAGTCTTTTGTCCGGTCAATCTCCCTCACCCGGGGATGAAATCACTTTCTAGAGTTATTGGGACTAGAAATATTGCGTCGATGGCTCGTGCTTGTTCAGCTTTAGGTAGTGAATGATGTTGGCATCTTAATGATATTCACATCCCAAATACCGCATCAAAATCGAAAGGCAATGGATCTGCGTTGGTGATGACTGATGCTGTTCCATCTAATCTTCTGCCGCCAAATTCCCATTTATATACAATGCTTGCGGGATGCAAAAGTGAAGTAGAATATGTCAAGTCTCGCTTTTCGTACATCGCTTTCTTCTCAAGCCCAGTATTCAATGAACCAAGGTCGAGTCGTGGAAGTCCCTGCAACGGACAAACTTCTACCACAGCGAAAAGACGTAACGAAGGTAGCGGTTGGCATGGAAGAACTAGGCGCTCCGTGGATCCTAGTGCAGGCAAACCGGTGGTACGCAGATGGATCTCCTCAATTTGCGCATTGGCAATGCTTAAATGCTTAAAAAGCTCCTCGATGTGAGATGATGAGTATTCCTGCCATATTTCCAAACTGAGACGTTTGATATGTCTAACTTTCTCGGGCCCAAGATCATGAATGAATTGAATGGTATCCGTAGTACGACCATACCGGCTTGTGTCAAGAAAAGATGGGAAAGGCAAATATTTGGAGTTGAGGATGAAAGGTAGAATTTCCAAGCGAACTTGTTTATTGAGGCGTAGCAATTGTGCAGAACATCTGCAATTCTGCTCGTAGACTTCGGGATCGCCTTTGGCGCAGCTATCTTTATGAATACACAGGCAAAGATATGAATAGATACTTGTGCGGATTTCGGGGGGTAGTCTCATCAAAGGAAAGCCTGTAGAACGACATCTTTGCTCCCATTGTAGATAGAACACCATGGCTCAAGGTTGAAGCCTCAGACGCACACTGAGCTGTCACTGCTGCCATTGTTGTTATTATTTTTTAGATGTGACGAATGAAATGTGTGGGAAGAGAAATTGCAAGAGACAAAAGGACGGACAGACATAACTTACTCGAGTAGACCTAACTTATATTGAGTTTTATGCAAAACTTGCTTACTAGACTGGTACTTGAGAAGAAGAGGGAGGGGTACTTGCTCAAGATAAGGTTAATGAGGATTAGCTTGAGGCAGAATAAAGGCGGTGACTGCAATAATCTAATATTAGTGGTCCAAATTCCTACTAATGCAGGTCATACATATCCATATGATAAGAAAGATGGGACAAAATAATCTCGGCGTCTGTACTACCATGCGCAACATTACATCAAGATCGCCATTACATCGAGATCACCCCTCCTTCATGCTTGACTACAAGTGCACAAGCATTGCACCATGGCTGGAACACCAATTAAGATACCAGGGAAATATACTCGAGATTCCAGTAAATCTGCCGTCCTAGCGAGAAAGATTCTGGTATGGGTTTTCATGTTAAAAGCAAATACTGATTGTGAATGGATTTTGTTAACCTCAAAAAGTAGAAACGGCCTCGCGGCAGACCCCTCAAACAACAATCCTCAAAGCTCGCATCGCATATTTCACAATCTTTGTCTTCTACCGCTCGAGAATCAAAAGTCCGCACTATGAAGAATATCAAATCGAGGCGCAACATGTCGCAACTCGAGAAATTGCCGACGGAACTTCTCGAGGCGATATTCTTCTACTGCCTAAACCTCAATTTGCCGGTATGCAGTCCAGTTATAGGAGGAAAGCTAAGCGGGGAGTCTGTCTACAGCAAGACTGTCATTACTGCTTTTGATAAAACCTGGGATGGGTGGTATAGACAATCGATTCTTCCTATTTCGAATTTCGAAATGAATCGCACTGATAGTGGCAGCCTACAGGTAAGCGCAGCTCTATGGCTGAGTGAGAATTGACTGACAATATGCATCTAGTCTGCAATTTTGAAGCGTCGTTGGGCAAGGTTACCTGTACTTATCCGAAGTCAAGATTTATGGGTTCGAAAATACGCACAAGGACGTCCGTTCCCGACCACTATTATACAGCGTCTGTGGAGTGAGCCTTTTGGAAGTGACATCCGTAAAAGTGGCATTAAAGATGTTGATCCTAAGACTGTTTCGGCAGTTCGCTTATTCGACAATGATTTTGCCAAATTTTGTTATATCTTCCGACGGGCGGAGCAAACGCCAGATTTCAACATGAAAATCCAGCATCTTTCGGGTTCCAAGATTCATGATTATGTGAACATGGCCACAGGTACAGAGATACCTAATACGCTGTTGATCGGCCCATGGGATGAGGAGGCCATCAAGTTCTTATATTGGTTGGTTATGGGAGGAGCACGTATTGATTGGCTCACATCGACGAGTGGAGAGGTATTATTCTTAATGAATCACTCGTGTGTCAGGCAGCCCGCTAATAAGAACTTAGGCAGCTATAATTGGATATAAGAGAGCTGTTCGGGAGTCCAGGATCGAGGTAATCTACCTCCTATTGCTTGCTGGTATAGAGAATAAGCTTGATGGTGATATCATCCAATATGTACTCGAAAATGCGGAAGCAAACCGGTCTTTTACCACCATACTGATGATGATGTCCCCTGGGCGTAGGTTGCCCTCACTTCTGTTGGACGGGATGCTCCTGTTCAAAAATAGTCATGAACATGAGAATGACTTTGAAAAGCTTATACTGATTGAGGAATTATTTGCCTGGTTTGGATAAAGGTGTGGGAGTTCAAGGCATATTTGTGTGTTTTTGAATGATGATACGATGTACGATGGTATTTTAATTATTCTTCATATACAAAGTAAATAGTTAATGCTAGTACTATTTATTGTACCTCCGTGATGTTTCCCTAAACTCTCAACTCCTACTTCATTCATTTGCTAGAGTTCACGTGACCATAGATTACATTCGAAATTTGATGTCCAAGCTTTTTTGATAGAAATATATTTGCGACAAACGATCCAAGAAAGGCTCATGAGTAGCAAATGATTCGTAGACGCTTGTATTAGCTCTTTTCAGCTGCTATGCGGTCTCCTCTACAGAATACTGTACCATCAGCATCTTTACTGAGATTTCTGCGGGCACAATCTGAAGGCATTTGTTTCTTCAATTCTAACTCCAAGCTGCCAGGTTTATTTTTCGACCATGCACCCCATGTCACAGCTTCTGGTGTAGGATATATCTATCATTCAAGGCCATGTCGGAGACTCCTTTCAACTTCACTACCTCGTGGAGCAAATGTCGAGGCTGGATTCCCTAATATTGATTCCTCGAGACCGCGATTGGCCACCTCGAATTCGACCTCAAAAGCTATCCAGCCCAAACGGACTACACTACCGAGCAAGAAATCTGCGGCTCAGAATCGCCCGCAAACAAGTCGCGGAATATCTACAGGCACAAGGAAATGGCCATTCAAACTCTGGTCTTCGAAGAGGGGCGGAAAACCATTACAACCTGACGACCTGCCAAGTCGCAGTGAGGATGGAAGAGATATAGATGTGTTTAGTCTAGGGCGATCGGTATCTGTGAAGGCTGCCAGTGAGCCTCGGTTACGATGTACAGAGTTGGATGAGAATGGGAATGTAGTTCTTGTAAATGGAGAGTTTAAGAAAAGCGAGCTTATTGCTAAGGTGTGGCAGGATATCTTCTCTTGTAGACTTTTTGGGCGTGCAAATACTGATCGCGTTTAGTATGGATTGCTCCCTCGAGATCTTCGAAAAATTGATTCGAGTACCCTTCCGCATATCCTCGTCCGCCCTTCTGCTATTCTCATTAATCTTCTCCACCTTCGAGTCCTTATAAAATCTAATAGAGTTTTAATTTTCGACGCCTATGGCTCCACCGATTCCTATACACAATCACTCTTCATGTATGATTTAGAAGGAAAGCTTCGCCAAAAACAAACTTCTCCGTCAGCAGGCGGCCTTCCGTACGAATTTCGTGCCCTCGAAGCTGTCCTGATATCTGTTACATCTGGCTTGGAGAAAGAATTTGAAACAGTGCGGGAACCAGTTGTCAGAGTCTTGAAAGAGTTGGAAGAGGACATTGATCGAGACAAGCTTCGCTACCTTCTTATTTACTCCAAGAAACTCGGCACATTCGAACAAAAGGCAAAATTGGTCAGAGATTCGATTGATGAGTTATTGGAGGCGGATGATGATTTGGCTGCTATGTATCTTACTGAGAAGGATCATGATTTAAAGAGAGGAGAAGACGATCACACAGAGGTCGAAATGTTGTTGGAATCGTATCACAAACTATGCGATGAAATTGTTCAAGAGTCCGGGAATTTAGTTTCTAACATTAGGAACACAGAAGAAATGTATGTTTACAGCCATCTCTCTGCTCCGGTTTATATATACTAATCTAGAGATCAACAGAGTCAAAGCTATACTCGATGCTAATCGCAACTCCCTTATGCTTCTTGAACTCAAAATTTCTATTGGGACGCTAGGTATGGGTTCTGGCGCGTTCATTGCTGCCCTCTATGGCATGAATTTGAAGAACCACATCGAAGAATCCGACCTCGGTTTCCTAGGCGTATCAGGTTGGTGCGGGATTTTCGCAGCAATTGTATGGTTCTATGGAATCTCCAAGCTTAAAAAGGTTCAACGAGTTAGTATGTGGGGAGAAAGTGGGATGCGGGGTCGCAACTGGAGAGTGGCGGAAGATGAAGCTAAAGCAGTAGAGATGGATAAGGGGAGGAGAGACAGAGGACGAAGATTAAAAGAGGAGAGGGGAAGTGCTATGGAAGAGGTTAGAGCAAAGGTGTTGGAGCAGAGAAAATCAATTCATGAGGCTGTCGCCGGTGCTCATACAGAAAAAAGGGCTGCGGCTATGGCGTCTAGGATTGCGGGGCATGGGCATGGGCATGCACATATAAAAAGAGGATTAAATACCGTTACTGATACCTAGAGGTAGGAGCTCGCTTAGATAACAGGGTCGGCTGGTGGTGAGTGTTGATTGGCGTTCTGGATATAATATGTGTGTATGAGTATATGTATAAGAATAAGGAGGTTGGGTGTTTTGATTAAAAGTCCTAGAAAAACGAGGTGGGAACTTTTAAAAATGACCCCGGTGGGTTTAGATTAGATGGCTGATAGATATATGATGGGACTCCTCTCAGATATTCTTTTGATATGATAATGAGATACTTCACTTCACTTCACTTTACTTCTCTTCATTCCAGATGAATAGTTGCTTCATTTTACTGTTTCTGATCGGTTGGCTGTATGGTGAGGTGATATGGGATCTGATGCATCAATATGTGATGTGATTAGATGAGTATTCATCTGGAGAACCTATTAATAGGAATCCAAAAAAAAAGTATAGAAGAGTATACACTTCTGTAAAGTTTGTTTTTTTTAGATCTACATAAAATATATTGTCATCTACTCTACTCAGTAACTTTATTTATGGCCTCTAATTCTCACTCACTGGGCGGTATCTTCATTTCCTTTTATAGAGTTATTTATCTATATCTAATATGTTTCCATATATATATCTTCCGCTTTGTATATCCAGACAGATAGATACCAACCGAGTAATTTACTTCAACATCTTAATGAATGGATTCGCTGATATCTGTAGGATTTAACTTAACTTACTCAATATATTCAATGATGTTCAGACAAGTTCCGAAGTGTTTAACAACCATGATGATGTTTTCAATAGCCTCATTATTGAAACTTCTTCATTCTATTCAACCTCATCGATGCTCATTTATCTTTAGCGTCGATATATGCTTTCGATCTATGGCCGCGATGCTTGATGATTTCTACTATATTTTCGGTATAGTTGCATCGAACGAAATTCCAATCAACACAAAGTTAAAGTTGCCCACAAGCATCCAAAGTAAAAGATTCTGAGCTATATAGTTCAGGAAGAATTATGAAATTTGGACCCATCATCTGGTTCTGCAAGAGTCCCTCCATTGTCCTCAAATAATCTCTTTAGATAATTACCCGACTTCTTGATACCTTTAAGTTTCCAATCGGGTTGCTTAATCGCCAACTGAGCATTTCGATAATCTTCAATACTTGGTGCTCCACCATCCGTCGATGGAAAAGCAAGTTCCGAGGACCAATCTTTAATTAATGGATCGTGGTTACCAGAACTCACGGTGAATAACCGAATGGCAATGTGTAAATATTGTGTGGAGCTTAGTTCCCAATCTTTGGATACCTCATTCTGGCCTGTGGGCGATAATAATATCAAGAATTGTCGAATGACGCCCTGGATGCAAAGACTATAAAAAGCTGAAAGCCACCAGATTCGACTCCGCATGTTTTCTTTCATGAAAACGACCCGGGATAGTTCATCTAGGTACTGTTCCATCTGTAATTCGATATCCCGTATGCAATCAACTTTACAAATGGAGACGTCGCATGCTTCATGCGGGCCCTCGAAGCCTCCTAACGCTTTGACGTGCAGAGCTTCGACACAAGTGCGAAGGCATGTGAGTGAGTAAGCAATCAACTGATTCTGCAGATTTACATGAGCTTAGATTTTAATCGATGCGGCTTGTGTCACTTACACTCCCAATACTTGCTTGATATATAGCTGCAGCATTTAGAAGCATTATGAAATCTTCTAGGGTGCCACTGTGTAGGGTCATCCAAGGTTGAATTGCATTCTGGGACTTTTCACATTCGAGAAGTCCCCAAAGGATAGTCATAATGCAGTAATCAAGCGGTTTCAAAACAGCTGATACAGTCTCATTCAACTTCTCTATCAAGAACATTCGAGTGCGGCTTAGAACTGCACAAAGTGGTGACTCGCCGGTTTCCAAGTTTTGAAGAAATCCGTGGAATTTCGGGAGGCTCGAAACCCTCATAATACCGGGAAGTAAATCTTTCTCGCGCTGCTCGAAAATTTCTTGACTGCAATGATTTGCGTGTAGCCAAGGTCTTTTCATATCTGATATTGCAGGTGAGTGTAACGATTCAGTGGTTTTTCTAGGACATAATGATATCGGAAGCATTTTGTTCTTGATATCGCCCCGCTTGCAGCCAATGCTATGCCATGGCCCACCCTGTTTGCCTTTACATTGACTGCAGCAAGTTTGTGCATCACACTATCAGTAGTTAGCTACTTGTTCTACATGTTTTGCATAGAAACATGGAAATGGACAGTGAAGCCATATAAGCTAACACTGAACTAATAAAGAGAGGAATCTTCTTCATATCTTGCAGGCGTTGCGATGCACGCCTTCCCGAAACAGTAAATTAAGCACTACCTGACGAAAATCCCTGCCTAAACCCTGCAAGAAGTATTTAACAATGAAAAGGAAGAAATATCGGACTTGATCACAGATCATCATTCCGCTGGAGCGAATACGAGATGATATATCAATGGACTTACTGGTTTCCGTAAGAACCGGCACCTCCAACACGCCCCCAGAGCTTTGACCGCATTTGCCTTAGCACGAGTGGCAGAGTCTAGAGGACCCATTCGACGAGGCGAAGATCCATAGGTTGTTGGCATACTCGAAAAACCCGGCGTCGAGCTAAAAACCCCTTCTTGATAGCTCGATGGTGTATTGCCGAGGCTAGAATCGCTTCTACTCGAGCTAGATTTGATCACGATATCGATTCCTTGTGATTGCAAATTGTTCAACGGCACATTCTGAATTGATTCTGCGCGACTAAGAGGTCGAGGTGTTGGCACATCCAATACTGCAGCAGGGGCTAGGTGTGTCTCTCTCCATGCTGGAATATCAGTTATAGGATTTTGAATCCTGGTAGCAGCTGGAGTGTTTATTTCCGACTGAGTAGTTTGACATGATTCAAGCGCATTATCAAGAGTGCTGTTGTCGAGCTGAGGGTTATCCAGCATGTCAGTATCCAGGTCAAGGTCATGTTGGTCCACAAGATTCACTAGATCCTCCCAGTCTGGGAATGTCTCACCACCAATATTCTCACCCGAAAAGTCGTTCGCAGAATTATTGAATGTAGCGTCGTTTATATTCAGTGGCATGTCGGAGAATAGCTCATCTGAGAAACCAAGGTTTTGTACATCGGCTTCAAAACCACCAGGTAATTCGTATAGAGGTGTTGAAAAATATTGGTATGTAGAGATGTCCACATCCATGTTCGTATCTCCAGTGTCAATGTAGTCATGATAGAACGATCCTTGCATATCAGCCTCAAAATCACCCAGTTCGGGTAACTCCAGGCTATGAAGTGAGGCGTCCCGGGTGATGATAACTTTGCGGGTGTCAAATAAAAACCGAAAACGGAAATTCAAACGTTCAGCAAGACATCGAGCCGTCTTAACCTGACAGTCTTCCGGTACATCAATAGATATCTCATCCGCTGAACCTTTTCTGAAGGTAATCAATTGGATATAAACGGAAAGATTTGAATTGTTATTCATATCTATGATAATTAGCATATGAGAATGATCGCTCTAGTTGATTTACCAATTCCAGAGGTATCTAGGAAGTCATCCATGATGAAGAGTGATTGATAGCGGGAACAACTAGTGTCCCGCGGAGGCCGATCACGTGAATGAAACAGCTCTTCATACGATGTGAGGCGAAGAATTCTTTCTAAAATATATTGAGTAAATAACAGTAAATGAAACTCGATTGCTGATATTGAAAGGCATCACTGACATGAAAACAGCAATGATAATTGAGCTTCTGATCTTATGTCATTAGAAGGCTGCGATGATTCCTCCCTCCTGCTGTTTGATCTGGGATTTGACTGACCGTCTTAATCAGACAGCTTAGCAATGGAAAAGATATTCTGTACAGATAGCAAAATAAATTCTGTGTGTCAGTGAACTTGTATAATTACAAACAGATTGAGCTCTTTCACAAAAAACATTTTCTTTTCTGTGAATTGTCATCGTGTCGATGCAGGTATTCAACCCATGGCAGGAAGCGAAGGCGGTCTTCAGAACCATCCCTATGCGCTAGACCGTAAATGGACGCCCTCCATCCAAAAGAAGTTTTGTCTAAAAAGGCTCTCTCCAAAAGAGGCTTTATTCAAAAAAAAGCTTCATCCTAAAAAAGTATCATCCCAAAAAAAAATTTAATCCAAAAGAGATTCTACTCAAAAAAGGCTCTGTTCAAAAAAGACTCTGTTCAAAAAGACTGCAGATTTTGATAATAATGATAAATTTACCTTACAAAATAGTAATGGCACGCTATACAGTGGGAAAAGGTGTGGCCTTAGTACATGGAGAGTAGTGGCTTTAGTAATAGCATCACACACAACCCCTCTTACAGCAGAAACGAGACTGCCGTTATGACAGCCCTGCATAGATGGAATGAACGAACTTCCTGTATCCCGCATCTGGTATCGGTCTATCTGAAATTTGAAAGTTACAGGTCAGCGATTGAGACCGCCTCCAGATATGGATTTTCGAGAGAGGACGGCCGTGAGTCTATCGTTCACAATTCGTGTCATTGCGAGAAGTAGGATGGCTACATAAGTAACTCCTCCCGCATACTATCTTTTCATTTCTATTTCTTCTTTACAAACTTCAAATGATGTCTTCTCAAGCAATGAAGTTTCCAGTCAACATATCGCAAGCCAATAGACCTTTTTGTACTTGTTGCACATATGATAAACTCCTACTGCAGCTTCAACAAACGTCTCTGTACTCTGAATATTCCGAAAGTCGACAGGACACCATTACTGAAGACTCATCATCACAATCCATCTCTGCCTCACATATCTGCAGAAGCAGGTTCTCTTACCACAATGGATTAGCTGAAGATCTTGATTCTACTGGCTGTTTTACACAACGTTGTACGTGCGGGGGTGAGAATGAAGACTCGAGGGAGCATGGTATGAAACCATACCTCACATTGATGTGCTGGCAATACTAATTTCTATGTATTAATAGATGAAGATGGCGTCGAAGAAATCCAAATACCATCTTTAACATCCCCAGATATTAACAGAATGTCGATCAATTTCGATATTGGACTAAAGTACATGGATTTTGAGCTTTACGATTCCCAGTTCGAGGAATGCGAAAGTTATCACGATTTCTGCATTGACCCATCTACATCAAGTGATAGATCGAATTTGGCCGGCCTTGATGATTACAAGAGCTCTGATACATTTGATACACCAAGGACATCTAAAATGAGCTTAGCTCAAGGGAGTTTCTGCTTACCTCCTCCGAACTCCCCTACTATCTCTTTGAACATGAGCGATGAATCCACGATTTCCCTTCCCACAGTCTATCCAGGCAACTTTTCCGAAGCTTTGGATCCTGATGAGTTATCTGGTGTTGGTGAGTGGATGTGTGGAACGATGAGCAAGCCGAATGATCTGAATGATCTCGAGGGGGAATTAGAGCTTTATAGAGACAAGGACGAAACCATCGGCCCTCAGTCAAGTCGGAAAGTCGGTCAAGCATTGGATACTTTCGCAATCAGTTTTTATGGTGTCCAATGACAGAAATAATAAAAGGAGGACAGACATCTTGTTTCAAGGCAAATGAAGGTGGAACTTATATACTGAGTAAGAAGACAATACTCGAGTAATGCGTAGGAGATATAGAATAAGTCCGATGAGTATTTTTAAGCAACATCTCTCTCATTACGACTACGTAATGCCGCAATGCAGCTAAGGTTGCTTGCAGATTTTTCAGTCGATTTCGATCCGCCTCGGGACCGAGATCACGTGCCTAACCAACATCCACTTCCAAAGATGTTCTAATTGCTTACCAACTACCTTTCCTGATCTCATCTTGGGTGAAGGTAATACCTCAACATCTTGTCCAATAACTTCCATTTAAGACAATTTCCAAAAAGCCCATGCGTGCGACGTTTCGGATGAAAAAAATTTCAAAGATCTTTTACTAAGCAAACGAAGCTAGATACTCGACGGTTCCATTACTAATGGGACCCTATGGGCCTACTCATGCGTGACCTCAAGATTCAAGAACCCTCTTATGGTATGATGTGCAAGCAAATACACTTGATGATTTATCATCTCTGATCTATCCCCGATTTCAAAATCTCCACAAGAGCTTGTTAGGATATTTGTGATTATTAATGATGGTGACTTCATCAAAATATAAATACTTGAGTAGGAACTTGATGATAAATGATTTATTAATCACTTCACTCCAAATTCTTCATTTATAACTCCCTTGAATATATAAATATACTCAACATCTTCAAACTTCCATCTCTCACACAGAACCCAAAAAAAATAACATCCAAAAAAATGCTCGCTCTCACAGCAACCACCGGCAACATAGGCAGCGCCGTCCTCCAAGCCATCCTCGACCTCAAAGTAATCCCACCCACCTCCCTCATAATCTGCACTTCCTCGGACCCCTCCTCCCCAAAATTCAACACGTACAAAGCCCAGGGCATCCAAGTCCGAAAATTCAACTACAACGATCCATCCAGCATGGCGGATGCCTTCATCGGCGTCACAAAACTCTTCCTAATATCCACTCCTCAAAATAATCTCGATTTCAACAATGCGTCCTACGGACAGGGACGCGAGTCCCGTCATTTCGCAGCTATTAATGCCGCAAGGGAAGCAGGCGTCAAACATGTAGTTTATGCTAGTCTCGCATTTAGTCTTGAGAGTTCTCCCGGAGTGATGCGTGCGCATCAACGCACGGAGGAGTATCTGAAGGGATTGAAGGATATCAAGTGGACGATTGTGAGGGAGGGATTATATCAGGAGAGTTGGCCTATCTATGCTGGATTTTTCAATACACAGTCTGAAGATGCTGATGCGAGGGAGGAGATTGTGGTTGCGGGGGATGGGGGTTTAAGTATGATATCTTTGCGGGATCTTGGGGTGGCGAATGCCCTGGTACTGGCGGATGAGAGTGCGAAGTATGAGGGAAAAATGTTTTTTCTTTCGCTGAGGAAGTCGCTTAGTATTGGGGAGATTTTGCGGATTGTATCCAAGGTGAAGGGGAGAGAGGTGGGTTTGAAAATTGTAGACGAGCAGGAATATGTAAGACATTATGTGGAGAAAGGGTTTGAGAGGGATATGTTGGAGTGGTGGGTTAGTAGTTATACGGCGTTGAGGGAAGGGGGTGGTGCGGTGATTGATGATGGGATTTGTGAGGGGCTTTTGGAGAGTGTGGGGGTTAAGCCGAAGGATATGGAGGAGACGGTTAGGGAGATGCTGGTGGGTGGTTTGAGGGGGTATGATAAGTTGGTTTGATTGGGTGTGGGATGAATTGTGGGTGTGGTTTTGTGTGGGTGGTAGATCGGAATTTGTAGTCTTAGGGTAAAAGTTTATTGTGAATTGGTCTTGATGATTATATCAGATGTTTGGAGGTTTATCTTGAGTATGGCCGCGTATTTATGGGTGATAAAAATAATGCTGAGCTAAGGATAGTGAAGTCAACTAGGCAGATTGTAGAAGTTATTGATATTAAGAGCATCACGTTCACTACTGATATCTGTAGATGATTACCCACCTAACTTGCTTCATAAACCTCAGTTCAACGAACTCGATCTCAGTTCAATTATCCACAGTAGAAACTTCCTACATCGGCCCATCCATTAAAGTGGGTGGGTTTAAGATGTGAAAAGAAGAGATCGATCATGAATGAAATGACGTGTTTAGATAATAGAATTTTCTCATTTAAATGCAAGTCTATTTTACAATGTATATTCCATGTATTCCAATTCCCTCAAATGTCCCAGTACTCCCATGTTTCCGATGTATCATGCCAATAAATCAACTATTAAGCCAGTAAATGCAAATAGGTAGGCATCTTAGCGAAAATGCAAAATATGCCACCCTCATACACAACTCCGAAATTAGCAAATGATTAGCGTGATAACTCTACATATGTAGATTCTTCCTTGTATGTTCGTGTATGCTCGTTCCTAATACCCGTATCCCTTTTTCCCATTGCCGTGAGTAGGTGTTTCTTTCGTTTATGATGAGAATTCTTCAATGGTTTGAATATTAACGAAGGTTTCGGCGTCTACTTCCATTTAAATGTCAGCGTCGCCTTCGTTTTCCAACACAAGCCCATCAACTGCTTCCCCATCATCTTCTAACTCCATATCATTCTCGGCATCCATTTCAACCTCTGCTTCCTCGTCACTATCCTCGGCACTTCTCTTTCTCTTCTTCGAGCCCTTCGCAAGCCTCTTTACAGCCTTCTTGATAATCACCTTCTTGCCAGCACCGTAACCTAATTGTTTCTTGTCCCCAGTTCTGTTTACCAAATGCTCAATAGGGCAAATAGTGCTCTCCCAATCAGCAGAACCCTCGGATGTGACAGCTCTGCAGCGACCACATGTTTTTCCATGTCGGAGGAACAATTGATGAAGAGAGTACTTCAAGTGATCTGGTATTCGAACTTCACAATGACTAAAAGTTTGGTCGCGGGTTGCTCCTTCTGGGACCCAACCAAGCCACTTACAATGACGCCAAACATGCGTATCAACAGCAAAGCTTGGTCTCCCCAAGCAGAACAAGGCAACACATGCTGCAGTCTTGACGCCGATACCAGGCAAATCCATCAGCACATCCATAGCAGCTGGTTTATCCAATGCGTGAATATAGTCAATTGAGAGCATGTTCTCCCCCAAGCTCTTGATCTCAGCTTCCTTTTGCTCCTTAGTCTCCAAAACCTTTCCAATGAATGGGACTGAAACATCAGTATCGACTTCTTTCAATAAAATCTCTAGAAGCTCGGTATTTTGATCGTAAACCTTCTTGAGTATTTTCTTGATGTTACTACCCTTCACGTTGGCAAGACCACCTGACTTAATGGCCTTAACAACATCTTCTTCCGGTGCAGCAAATACAGCCTCCCATGATACACTGCCTGCACCCTTTCCAGATGTTCTCAATCCAAATCTCTCTTTCAGGCCTGCCATGGATTTGTTAGCGTTTCCAGCAGCGGTTGCAGCGCTGAGAAGAGTTCTCAAAGTTGCGTCAAGAGCATCTGGAACCTCTCCACAGCCAGTGACAGTTTCTGATGGAGCTGGAACTGTGTCAGGGGGCTTGACTTCACCATGCAAGGCAGTCAATAAGCTGTTTACCGCCTCGGCCTCTAGAATGGTGGGCGAAACATGATCGGGGAAAGGTGTTTGACCAAAGACGAGGCCATAATTCTTCTTGTTTGTCTTGGGAGCCTTTGTTGGGAATGCATCAGTCTCGTTGGTTGTGTCGGCTACCTTCTTGCGCGGTAATCTCTTCTTCCTGGACTTCTCTTCCTTGATGTCTTCAAGGAGATCAGTTGCGACTGAATCGCCAAGATCAAGTAGCTTCTCCTCATCCTCATCCTTGATAAGTGGAGTTTCAACAGCAGCCTTGGCTGCTCTGGCTCTTGTAGCCTTCTTAGAAGCGGTAGTTGTGAGCTCCGTGCCAGTATTGCCAAAGTTATCATTCAAAAGGTCACCTTTCTTGCCCAGTCCATGAGGAAGGACATCCCAACCACCTATCATTGGCTCAGCTGGTAGCTTTGCTTTCTTTTTCGGTGGTGCACGCTTTCGAGGCTTAGTTGGAGAACCGGTGGCGACATTTTTAGAAATTTTCTTGGCATTAACGGGCGTAGCCGGTGGAGAGGAGAGAGTGGCAGCAGCAGTATCTCGATTTGCTGCTGCTTCTGCAGCCCTGGTGGCCGCGCGAGTAGGCATTTTGGATTTGATAGTATTGCTCACGGGATTTGACCGAATCAAATGCAAGTTAAGAGGCAGGGCAATGAAACATAGAAAACAGCTTAAAGAAGAGAATAAATAATTAAAATAATTAGGTTCAAACCAGTTTGATAGACTGATGTGAAGAAAAGAAAACAAAAGAGGCAAAAGTTGTAATTGTTGTGGTTGTATGATGGAGGATAATGTGTAGGTTGAAGAAAGAATATTGGAAGTAAACATATATCTTGGTGTTTCTATGATGATGATACATAATGGCATAGGTAGAAGCGAGGGATTAATACAGCCACTAACACAAATCAAGTAGTTTCTTGATGGAGCTTGATGTCAAAAGAGTAAAGTATCAGGTACTAGTGCGGGGTAATTTCTACGTGGGGTATCTTCGGGCTAACTTCTCAAAATTTTGGAAATATGTTGAAGATGGTTGAGAAGGAACTTCAAAATAGTTGCAGAGGAGAAAACTTCAAAAAGAAAAAAGAAACATCGGAAGTTCTAATTCACCTTGATTGAGTTTTCATCATGAACACAACGAGTATTGAAATGAAATGGATCATAATAATATATATATTCTCCTTTTTTTGTCGAGGAAAATGGATTCTTTTCTGATATTGACCTGAATCTTACATTCATCTCAATACGGCTGGTTGAATGATCAGAGAATAGAAAGATAAGAGTACTTTCTCTTCTGTTATTCATCTGTATACATGTTAGTACAATATATACAGCTGATCAATTGTCCTATAGTAGAGAACTCAACCATCAAAACTATTCACCCAACTTTTGGCAAAGAAGGAAGAGGTAAAAATAGTCTGTTTCCTGATATTTCATCTATATTCGTCTCAATATAGCTGATTGACTTGCTACAGGATATCCTTGAAAGTGGGGAGGAAGTGATAGTGGTTTGAAGTCTTGGATCCGGAAGAGAGTGTCAAGATTATCACAGAGATATTTTCCTTACAATTCACTTGGTTTCGTTATGAAATAGGCTTCATCAGCTCTGGTTATGCTTTCCCATTGCAAGAAAATCATTTGGTACAGCCCAAGGCAGAAGAAGCTTGATGGACCAACTGGCAAATCCCACTGCCAACAACGATGCAGAGCATGGAAAGGAAAAGGTTCCCTTTATGAATTATTTCCATCATTAAGGGTTTACTGGATTTCTGTAATAAGATTCTATCCTAGACCGCAGATATAAAGATAGTGCACCAATGGACTTATGTATCTAGCCCAAACTCATTTGAAGTAGCAGAAACTAATAAATAGTAACTACCCTAGAACAAGTGGTGGAAGCATCAACAAAGTCGAAATCTTATGAACATCGATATGTAAAGTTTGGATTAACCAGAATAATTTATTCTAGGTAGACTGTTCTTTGCGATGTTCTGAATCGTTAGGGTCGAATCAAATATTTATCGATATTCCTTCTTAATCCAGAATTCCTTCGGTTTTACTTTGATGATTCTTGGAATAATGTGCTAGAAATCCGATGAGTGCTGGAATAATCAAAGATGTTATTGTAAATATTGTAAATCTCATAGTTTCCTAATGCGATAATCTAAATTCTCCCCAGAGTTAACGACTCCTGACAGACAGAAGTTCAACAAAATTTTCTATCACTTGAAATTTTGGAAAAATATCTTTAGACACCAACTTGTTTAGCACCTCACGTACATACTCAACTCGAAATTCCCCTTACAAGACTCAACCAGGTTACCATATATCTATTCATCTAACCTATTAAAAGCTCATAATTACATCAACCTTCTCAAGCCCGAGCTAAAGGGCGAAAAGATAAAATCGTGCCAAAAGACTTGATCCAGTAAATTACAATTGCACCTCAACAACTGGTCCCTTCCACTCCACTTTCCCAAAAGTAACATAGTATAATATACAAAAAATCATAACGGCTCCCGTAACAAGAGAACTGTAGTTCATATTTGCCGGCGTAACCGGTAAAGCGGGGGGCCAAAAGCTAAAGAAAAGAATGGTTATTAGATAGATAACCGCGAAGGAATTGTTGATGATGCCGAATAAACCGGGGATGTGCCATGGTCCTGTTAGTTCGGTTAGTGTTAGTTCTAAAATAGAATATTGGAAGAGATGAGATGAGATAGGAAATGAAGATACGACGTACCCCAGATTAACTGAGCACCAGCTGTATTTACCAAAACGGGCTCTTCGGAATTCTCATCAAGCTTTTGGAAGCCTCCCGTGAGTCGTCGGTATAATAAGAGAACAGCGCAGATTAGGTACGAGCTGTAGAGTCCTGCTACTGATAGAGATACTACGTCATTGAACACGGTTGCGGATCCAATATTGATCAGTGCAAGTAGACATGAGATGACAGTAGTGACAGCAATGGACCAAAGAGGAATGGTCGTGCGGCTATCGACCTATCAATGGAAATAGCCGTGTTAGTGTGATGTTTAATACAGATAAGGAAGGAGCACACGTACCTTTTGAAGGGTTCTCCAACCAGGTACACCGTGATCTCTAGCAAAAGACCAAAGCATACGGGAAGTCGAAGCCAGACTACCGACTGTGGCGCAAAGAGTCAAAATGGTAACGATTGAAGCCATAGCTGCTGTTCCACTTCTGGATCTTGTCGCTTGGAGAAAAATCTCGATAAATGGATATCCGGTGTCGGTGGATAGAGCATTGTTGATATCTCCAAGACAGAACAAAAGTGCGATTATCATTGCGAATCCCAGACTTCCATTTAGGATGACGCTCAGGATGATGGATCTTGGTACTACTAGAGAGGGATTGCGGATTTCTTCTGACATCTGTGTGGGTTATTAGTTTTATAATCTTGCGGAGCACTATCTTATGCCTGTTTTTATGGAAAACTTACGTGGAATGCTCCATCAGCACCTACGACATATTAGTGATTTGCATGGAAATTTCAGAAGTTTGGAAAGCTTACCAACAAATGCAAAGACATTCCCAATGATTCCAACAAAAAATGACACTCCCTGACTGGGCCAACCACCCCCATTAAGCCAACCACCAAACACATTACTTGCGGTATCATGCGGTGCGAGTATAACCAATGGAACCAAGATACCGAAAAATCCCAAAATATGCAACACAAGGATTAAGCCTTCAAACTTCGGCAGTGAACTACTAACAACCGTATTGATGAAGACGGCAAAGAAAATCGCCGCCCAATATAATAATGTACCCTGCCATGCCGTCTCCGAAGCAGCGTACGAGGGCACAGTCAACACAATCAATCCCTGAATCAGAGTACCAGTAAGATAACCCCCCGAAGCAACGACACCTTGCCAACCGGTGACGGTCATCCAGCCGGTGAGATAACTCAGAAATTTACAGCACCACGGAGGAGCAAGCATAGAAACCCAATGATACTGGCCGCCTGAAGTAGGAGCCATAGAAACGAGCTCAGACAGGGTAGAAAAAACCGACAAGTTCCCAACCCAGATCAAAAGAAACCCATAAATAATTCCAGCCGGCCCGCCATTCTGAAGTCCACTGATGAACACCGTTAAGCTTCCTTCCCAGGTAATCAGAATAGTACAGCTAAATCCGAGAATGGACATAAAAGCAAAATTCCGCTATGAAAAACGTCAGTACATATTCGAAGGAAAACCCTCGTGACCCACAGCTGGCTTGTGTTTGCCAAGCCACAGCCATATATAAAGCTATACGGGGGATATTCACGAAACACAAAAACAACGAACTTTAAGCACTGGTTTCTTTCCCAGTCGTATCAGATCATCCCGGTCTTTATTGTCGCTATTGCTATTGGAGCGATGCGCCGCAGCTCGATTCTGCATGCCGCCCAGCTCGACAGCTTCGATTTCCGGATCGTATTTCGAGGCCTTCATATTCATCTTTGTGATGGAAGCCTAGGTTGCGCTCTGCGCTGCTGGAGCTTCAATGTATAAAGTTCCAGGTTGAAATAACGAGTTTGCGTTTCGTTTGCGTTCACTGCAAACAAAGTGCTGGTGAGTCGAGAAGCTAAAGGGGGAGTGGTCAAAGGGGAGGGAGGGAGGAGATGCATATATTATTTTAATTGGACTGCTGGTGGGTTCGCGCAGGGGTTGGGGAAAAAAATTCAATATGCGGGTTACCCGCTTGCATTTTACCGAAGTAGTGGACGTTTACAGATAGACCGACCGGTTTTATCTGTTCTAGGCCAGGATTCACACCCCTGGTGCATATTGCCGTTCTGTGTGGGGACATGCATCACCTGGTAAACCTACCTTGTTCTATGGAGTCGAGCTGCTTTCTCGGGAACTGCATTATTCATGCTGTGATAGTGGCTGAAATATGGATTACAGTAATACGATATTGGTGGTGGCGGGAATTCGAACCCCTCCTCATCATCATCAATTTTCAGCTAATTTACATCGACCTTCCAAGTTCGTGTCTTTTTTATAATTCTAGATTGACTCGTTTGGCTTTGTCCATCCCACAAAAATCCTTCATCAACCGCGATTACTGCATCCGATTGACCAGCTGGATGAGCCGGCACAAAATCCGCTAATTCCTGATCGTCCTCGTCGTCTTGACTTGTCAGGCTCAATTTCTGACTGATTATCTTTCCAATCTTTGCTCGTTTGCTCCCTTCAGATGAATTAACATTGACGTCGCGATATCCTTCCACAGTTGTGCCACCTCGTCGACGCAAGTCGTCTGTCCGTAGCATACCCGACTCCAGACTATCGAGGAAAGGTTTCAGATACGGAACGCACGCTGTGACTATACTGAGGCACTGAACAATCTGGTTACAGATAGTCGTGGTCCACGGATCGAACGTCGGATCATGCATCTCCTCGTTCGAATAATAGAGCTGACAAGATACTGCGGCAACAACACTACATCCGGTTAGTTAGCTGAACATTTGATCGGAGATTGGTATTTATGCTACTGACCAGATACGACTACCGAAAATACATATCAATGTGAGTTTTCTACTCCAAGTAGTGCGAATATGTAATGCTATAAAAGTTATAAGCGAGACCAAACTGGCATCCGTTACAATATTAACAATAGCATTGTAATTCCAAAAAGCTGTCTTCCGGGAAGAAAAGTCAGCAAGGGCTAAAATGCAAAATGCAGAAGATACTGACTTGGTCAAAACAATCACCATAGATGCCATCCCACACTCTCGGAAGCCGACATTGAAAGGCAACGGCAAAAATTGAACTAATCGCCCACAGAGATATCACAAGCCCCAGAATCTTCGTCGCCATTCTTTCAGCTGGGATAGGTGTAAAATCATCGATGAATAGGACTATAGACATTTTTGCAAAATACAAGCTGGTAATATAAAGCAAACTCGCCGAGTATTCCGCCTATAAAACTATCAGTGAATATTGCGCATCCATATTGTGTTGGAATGCGATTAATTACTTTTTGAAGGGCCTCAAGTTGGCCATCACTCATTGTCCCAAGTAATTGGCCAAAGCCATTTTCACAAGCGATTACCACTGCGACCGACTGACCGATCGAAAATAACTACAAATCGACTGTTAAAACATATATTTAGCCATAATAAACAATTGCCTAACATACCAGCGATATAGTTATCAAATGATCTTGCCACTCAAGCTTTTTGAAAATAGCCAGCTTCGTGCCCAGACGTGCACATACCCCCATAAAAGAGGTAGCAAGCGGAAGCCATACAAAAATCTGCACTAGAGGAGTCTTATTGGTATCCGTTATTAAAGCCTGCGTCTGATTCATGTTGAAGGCCTAAAGAGGGGGAGGGAGGGAGGAAGAGTGAATGAGCAGGAAAAAAAAAAAGAGGCTACGAAATGTTAGCAGTCATGGTTATGCTTGCCAGAGGATGTGGAGGCGCATACTAACTATATGGCTCTTTTTATGATGCTCGCCGTGCGCTGCTGCGCTGGGCTGGGCTGTGGACGTTGATCTAAGTGGAAAAAAGCGTACCAATTATTGAACGTTGACATTAAGGTTTCATAACCGTGAGCGTTAAGGTGAGACGGAGCGCTGACATTTCCTGCACATTCTTTTTGCAAGAAAAAAAAACTATATTGCGTTTTCTAGCATAGTATAGGTGGTATTGGGAATCTCAACTACGATATGCTGAAGTCTGTATTGCATAACTTTAAGATTACTAGCAAGATCAATTCCCCATTGAAAGAAAGTATGTTTTAGTATACTGATATGCAAGGGCCTATTATTGGTAGCAGTGGTGTTATCACCACCCTTTCCAAAAGGAAGAGGGACCTCGCTAGAAGATAGGAAATTCAATCCTTGTCAGTCGGTCGTATGATGTCCCGTCTCCCTCTGAACCGTTCAGCTCTCTCAACAAGTTACGACTGGAAAGCTGTGATTACTCGTGAGACTTTTGGTGGTATGCACACAGTGTGGTCTTCTAAAAGAGGAAAACACTCGCTCGTTCCCACATAAATTGCGCAACTAGAACCCAGACCCGCGTGCCAGTTCCCCAAATGGCAGCGGCCACATAGCTCCCCTGAATCGGCGTTCTCCCAGTGGATCCCGTGCGTCCCTTCATAAATAGTTTACCTGTCTCTGTTGCGAAAGCTAGAGCTGATGAGAGGCATGCCAATGTTGAGCGCTGATCCCCTTGCAACCATATCTGCCGGTACAATCGTTTTGGAGCGGGCCCCACTCAGTAAAATCACTTGATGCAGAAACGCGAAATAGGATTTGAAGAGCGAAAGTATGATTCGACTTCTCACACCGAAGAACTGTTTCAATGGAATATTCCGGGACCCACGGAGTATTAATTGTGGCCTAGGACGATCCGTCGGACCCATCTTTTATGGACATGCTAGGTACTTGCGAGCGAAAGGAACATTTTGAAAGAACAAGTGAGTTCATGGTATGCTGTAGGATAAATGCAAACATTTCCGCTTGACAAGAGTCATTCAATATTTGCATTAACTGAATAATTTAAGGTGGCATCGACTAAAGCTAAGCCCTGCCACCCCAAAGAGTGGTCATTAGACTTCGATTCTTATCACGACACGGCCATGGACTCTTAGCTAGTGGTATCGCCCAAAATTGAGTTTATAACCAATCCCAATTAGGTATAGTTCCCCATCGCTCCTAACGGGAATTGTACCACTAGTTTGGGACGCCCCAGCTAGTGCTTACCGGGCCCGGTCAGACCATACGGAAGTCGTTCCGAACCCTAGTTCCCGTGTCCTGAGTAGAAAGCTTGACTTTTCAAAGAACGCGCGCCCCGAGTAAAATTTCTACACCAATGACTAACCAGGTTTAATCTGCAAGTAGATGCGTGCAGCTAATACAGGATCTTGACCCCTTCTCTCAACCCCAGGAACCCCCCTCTCCAATACAACCTCACAGATATTCATTTCAAGACTCTAGCAAAATCCATTTGCACAATTTCGACAATGACTCTCGAGCTTCAAACCGTTGATCCCGAAGTGGATTTCCCAGCCATTGCACGGGGCATGTTTGACTCTTATGAAAACCCTTCACAAAAGTTTTTCCACGTGTTTTTCCCCATCCATGGAACGAGCGAAGAAGCCCGGGAAAATGCCATCGACGAAGCAGCAACTAGGCTGAAGCTCTGGCATACGCACGATCCATCCAGCCACTGGCAAAAGGTCGTTGATACTGGAACTGGGAAAATTGCGGGTGGGGCCTTGTGGAAAATTCACAAAGAGAATCCATTTGCGAACCCGCCTCCTTCCACAGTGACCTGGTTTCCCGACGACAGCACCCGCAAATTTGCCGCACAGGCAATGCAGACACATTCTGGACCTCGGTCTAGAGCCGCGCCGAAACCTCATATCTGTAAGTAAAATTGTCAATTTCGCTGCTCAATTGCTGACAGGATTGCAAGATCTCTTCATCATCTTTACCCATCCAGAATATCGACGCAAGGGTGTTGGCCAGCAATTTATGGACTGGGGTATTAAGAAAGCAGATGAGTTGGAATATGAATTCTTTCTGGAAGCAACACCCTATGGACGACCCCTGTATGAGGCGAATGGTTTTGTCTACGTTGAAGAATTCGTCAATCAGCCGCAAACCGATACTCCGGACGGAAAGTGGAAGGAGATCGAACAGAAAGTAGGCCCCTTTACTTTCTGGCTCATGAAGAGGCCACTTGGTGGAAAAGTTGAGGCAAACAACACGAGCAAGCAGTTGAAAGACAATTAAAGACAGTACTTTGCTCGTTTGGTGGCCGCTCGAGGCCTATACAAGAGCGCATTTAACTTAACTATTCCTCCCAAAAGGTATCTTGCAAATAAAATAGACTTCGAAATCGTCACCATAAATAAAGAATATCCTCCAATACCTTTCACCATCAAGGCCATTCATCGTGTTTATAACTGCTCCACCCAAATTAACTCATTCCCAACATTCCTTTGACTCCCCTCCATTTACCTTTTATCCCAGGTCCATACCCAATATTTACCACCGCCGTCGTAAAGGCAAAGCCTTTTGTTGTATCCGGAATCGGATATCTAAGCGGTGGAGGAATAGACGTACAAGCCGGAGACCAGGGCCAACGATCCTCACAGATAGCTTTGATATTACAAAGGCCCCTTAATCCCTCCTCACCAGCAAATCTTCCATATCCACTACCAGCCACACCACCAAATGGTAACTGAACTGCATAGTATGCAGCAAAGTCATTGATAGCCACCATACCTGATTTGATATTCTTGACAATAGCATTGAGCTCCCAATCTTTGGATCCAAAAACTGAAGCGCCAAGACCGAAGTTGGGGTGATTCGCGATATTGCAGGCATCTTCGGGGTTCTTGGCTCTCATGATAACGCAAATTGGTCCGAAACATTCTTCATTGGCAATGGCCATTTCGGGTGTGACGTCGACGATGAGCGTTGGGGTAAAGTAATGGCCTGAGCGATGAACGGGATGGTTGAATCTTTTTCCACCAACGAGAAGACGAGCTCCATCGTTGACAGCTGCTGCGATCAATTCCTCGAGTCGGTCAAATGAAGCATCAGAAATAACGGCACCGACATCAACTGGTGAGTCAGCTGTAGAATCAAGGGCAGAGCCGACTCGTAGAGCTCGGATCCGAGGCTCAAGTGCGGCCACGATTTTGTCGTAAACATCCGGAAGGCCAATAATTCGTTCGATGCCAATACAATTTTGCCCGGCTGCTTGGAACGTTCCACGAAGGAGAATCTCTGTAATACGTGGGAGATCTTTGACTGCGGAATTCATGATAATTGCTGCATCCTTTCCTCCAAGCTCGGCGACAACTGGAATCAAAGGCCCGGATGCTGCTGCTGCTACCAATTTGGCGACGGGTCGACTGCCAATGAAAGTGATATGGGAGATCCTAGGATGAGATGTAAGATGATTTGCAGTATCTGGCCAACATGTAATAACCTGAATCAAATTGGAATCATGGCCGCATGCATATAATGCTCCCCTAGCAATAAGAGAGAAATGCTGTGCACTCCAGGCAGTATTTTCCGATACCTTAACCACTATTCCATTTCCAGAGAAAATTGCCGAGATTATTGGGCCAAGCAAATTATGGAGGGGATAATTCCATGACACCAAAGCAGCAACAACTCCTAGCGGTTCGTATTGTACCGTGTTCTTTTTGTACATCATGAGCAAGTTCGTAGGCCTTCTAGAAGGACTCAAAGCCTTCTCACCATGCTTCAAAGTCCAACTTAGCTTTTCAACGGTCACTAAGATTTCTCCCAATGCAGCATCAATCATAGTTTTGCCAGAGTCCAAACATGCAACCTTGCAAATCTCTTCCTGGTGATCCATTATATATGCCATCATAGAACGGAGAACTTGTCGTCTCTGAGTAAATGTAGTTCGTGCCCATTTCTTCTGTGCGATATGTGCCTTTTCAATCACCCTGTCAATATCTTCGCTCGTGGAAGGAGTAACATATCCTAAAAATTGTCCCGTCGCCGGAGCATAACATTGAATATCTGACGTTCCGGAGGCCTATAAATTATCAGCATGACTCTTCCTTACCGTATTGTGTATCCACCAACCTTGATGCTCGGATTCTGCAAGATCTTTTTCTCCTCCGGTGCCTTGAGTTCAGCAATTGAATATTGTAGGACCGGCTCCGCATTATACCATTCAATGAATCGAATTGTTCCATAGAGAAGAAATGCAACGAATACTGTAGCTCCCAAGGCTAAAGTGAACATGAGCTTTTCACTACAAAGATGTCAAATGATGTTAGCAATGAAACCCAAGATTTCCGAACAAATAGAAAGCCAAACTCACACATCTCTATGGGTCCAACCTTCAAAGGGTCCATCCGGAAGAATCTGTTCTGCTTCCATTATTTCCAATGCACTTCAAGCAGAAATTGGCAGGTTTTGATATGGTTCTGTCTTCAACGAGGCAGCCAAGATGGTGGTGCTGAAAGAATACCTATTTCCAGAAGAAGATATCCAGCACTCTACCCATTCACCCGAGAAGATTCGAAAGACTAGATCATGTCATTCAATTATCAGCTGAACTCCCTCAAAGCATCTTTTCAGAGAACAAGAGCTTTGTAAAGAAAAGAAAGAAATTGTGTGGTTGTATGGTTGTATGGTGGCACAGTCAAATAAATTTCTGGGGAGAGCTTCATCCTTGTTGATTTGGACACGGAACTTTCCACACTCAATCCCGAGAAATCATAACTTTATGAACTGCAGCAGTTCAGCCTAAATTCAGTATACCTCACGGACCGAAGGGCCTCGTGCTGCTGAATTGGGTAGTGCCTTAAATAATATAAGCGTATTGTAGCAAGAATGGGAATGTCATGTTATGGTGAATGGCGAAAGGCCCAATCTCATCATATATATTCAGATGTTGCGGGGTCGAGTTCTAACCAGCAAGTGTTGTCCCAAGAACAGAGAATGATAATCATAAGGTCTTATAAGATAAATCTTCAAGCCAGGATCCCGAACATCCATTTATATGTAGGCTTATAGGATATTCAATATTTACGTAATATTTAATGCTATTTGTATAGTTAGGATCTTACAAGTCTCTAATTCTATATTTCTTGCCGTCAGCAATGTTTAGTATCCAAGCATTACAATGTCCGATCCATCATCTATCCGTCCTGCGAAGTATTGAAGGGTGTTTTTTTTGTTGTTCGAGTTATATACTATATATCATAATTGTAAGATCTTAGGATATACGGAATATACACATACACTTTCAAATCATCAGGTGTACATAGACCGCCAGGATGAGATGGCATACCATACATCTTGCGTCTCCAAATCACAGTTAGATCAATATCTGAACGTCAGAATAGGATTTTAACCAGATGAAAGTGAAAATGCTTGATTCATTTAGAAGCGATAGTATTTGGGCGCTGGCCGAGTGGTGTTCCCCCAACAAAAACGTCAAGTGCTGGTTGTTTTAATGAGCTATACGTGGTATAAGAGATCTTCCCCGTCTCTTTACTGAATCCTACAAACCGAGTTCACAAGTAAACTGGTGTAGCTTCCAGTCTTTCTTTCTGTGCTTGGCGCTACAATACTTGACAAATTTCCCTTTCTTCTCACATTTCCTACAACTGATCAAATGCCCTCCGACTCCACAATACTCGCAACATTGGCCCGCAGTCCATAAGCCCCTGGCTTTATTACCTTCGCAGGTAAACTTATGCAGTTTCCACGCTTTATCTTGATGCTCGACACCACAATACTTGATTATTTCCCCTCCCTTCTCGCATTCGACGCAAAGAATGAAATTCCCTCCTCCGCGTCCGCAATAGTCGCACCACTAGGAAACTGGAACTTCCCTGTTGATCCACCTCTGCAAAATCTCGTCAGCAAATTCCCGAATCCCCTCTACGAAATCTTCGTCCGTGATGTTACTCGTATCAAGCATTTCTCTATCCGACTCAAAAACTTTCTTACAGACTTTGGTCGTCATAGATCGTTGCCACTGTCTACCATTCCCAATAAAATAAGGCTCCCCAAGGAGTCCCATCTCACCATACTCTATATGCGACATCCAACCACAAATATATCGTCATTGCATGGTGTACCAACAGGACCAACACTCGTATATCGTGGAGGAAGTAGCAGAACAGTCTTTGGGGATTTTTCTCCATTCCCTGTAAAGTAGCTATGGTAAGTGTCCGATCCTGGTTTCCTTTGTACTTTGTTTTCGATATCTTTCTGCCTCAGATCACTCACATGGACGTGCGACAATATTACATCACGAGATTTAACCAACTTCGGCTGTTCGTTTCTGATTTGAACTATTAGCTCTTGGTTTTCTGCACATTTTAGAAAGAATTGTCGAAACACTTGTGCAAAAATTATGTTCCGGTTTTGCCATCTCGATTGATAAAATATACGCTCAAGTTGTGCGGACGACAAGTCATCGGCTCCTGCTTTTCGGTTGGGGTGTACGCTACAGGTGGCTGGAAGATAGGGAGATTGTTGAAGTGATGAGTCGTAATGGAACGTGTTGCGCCTCAGTGATGCACGACGAAAAGCTTCTCGATCATAAAGGCTGCGAGCCGAATATCGCTCGCTATTGACTGAACATTGGTAGTTGATGAGGGTAACCAACGTTCTGAGAGGGATTGGTGGAAGGGTTTGCTGTCCGGCAAGTGCTGGTTCGAGTGCTATTGGTTCAGTTGATGCCATGACTATGAGAGTATAGCTGTATTTAAAATAGCAGGTACGAAACTATGGTTTCCGATAACCAAAAGAGAGCATTGTAAGTATGATTGTGACGAATGTATGTTTGCAGTTGAGAAAGGAAAAGATGAAAGACGGAGAACGGAGAAATAAAAGAATATTTTTGAACGAGCAGAAAACGGAAGGAAGGAGCTGTGCTCAAAATTAGCTGTGCAGAAAGGAGAGAACCCCTTCACAGGTGAAGCACTCGGATGAACTTATCAGACAAAATTCTAGTTATCAACCCATTATTTAAACATAAGATCGAGTTTGTTATGTCAACATTGATTAATGTTGTCTCCCATAGGCAATAGCGAAAGCTTTTGAAGTCTTACAAACAAAAACTATATCGAAATGCTCAAAAAACTACAAACATTAAATCCCGCACCCAACCTGCAACACTAATAAAACCCCACACCCTCAACCATCATAAATGCGGCGCTTCACTAACCTCCACCAATTGCAAAGCCCTAGTAGCACCATCCAAAAGCGTAGTAACAGTCGAATAAGGAGCCAACAAACACTTCTCAAAAAAACACTCAGGAACCTACGACGAAGCAACCGCCTCCCTCTCAATAAGCTTTCTCTCCATAGAAACCACAATCGTGCCTCGCCTAAATACCCGAAGCAAGTACAGGCGATGCAGTAATTGTCATAAAAGTTTGCGGTGGAGCTCTACTCAAAGGTACTATCGTCGTGCTACTTTTCCCTCTAGCAACATCGCGCACAGTATAATAAATAGTAGAATACATAACTGTAGTTGTGAAAGTAGTTGTAGGCGTCATGAACTCCTCGCTAAAAGTTGGATTCTTGGGTCATGAATATTAGCTCATGATTATATCACATGGGATATTTGGTGGAGGCATAATCTACTAACCGCAGTAATCAATGGCAATAATGTTGGAGTTTCAACTGGTGTAAGGTCGGGGAGGAGAGCAAAAGCAGTGGGGCTCCAGGTTGCTATGTTGAATCCTCCTTCTCTCAAATTGCGCGGGTTGACTTGCTCATGCTCATACTCAACAAAATCGGTTTCGGCGTCATCATGTCGATAGATTGCAACTGTAGACGGAGGTTGGGAAGTAGGAGAAGGGCCTTCTGAATCGGGACTTGCTAGCTTAAAGAGGAATCAATATCAGCCTTATCATCGATAACTAGCAAGAAGCTAAACTGTCCTCTGAAAATGTTGACCTCCACTCGCTAAACGAGTACGACTTCACATCTGCTTTACTTCGGATATAAGGAACAACTTACACTAGAAGGGACAGCAAACAAAGACGTCTGTACAAACTGTTTAAAATCCGCTACAGCAGTAGGAGAAACCGCCGTCCCCTTATCAACACTGAACCCCAAACTATTTTGAAAGCCCTCCGTAGGAGATAGTCTAGAAGTTTGTTGCAAAACCAATGCTGCGGAAGAGTATACAAAGATACCCAGGAGGAAAAGAGAGTGTGTCAACGTGATATGCATGATTATTTGAAGACTTGGGTTCTCGAATATGTGAAGGGTAATGTAATGGAAGTAAGAGAGTTGGTATTCTTGAAAGAAGATAGATAAAGTCAGATGTTGGACGGTGGAAAGAAGGCCACTGAGTGATGATGATAAGATATTTATATTCCAAAATTTCACTCTCAGGGAAAATATAGCTGTTAAAATAAAACATACATTCTAAGCACCAAGACCAACCACAACGCCGCTGATCAAAGATACTAAGTCCAGAACTGTGCCAACGCTCGTGAATACCTATTCATAGGCCTCTGCGCCTTCCCCTCGATACCAGAAACCTGCGAGCCAAAAATACACAAAGAGATAATTTCCAATTCCAGTAAACCGCACCCGTAACCTACCGCAGCAGCAAGTAGTTATGCGCTTAAAGAGTCAGCAAGAGACATGACAGTGACCGTGCATCCATAAATTCACTTCACATGTGCCACCAACATGTTTCTACCAGTGAGTTAATTGGAAGTCATCATATCTCGCTACCAGCAAATTTGAAAGAAATGAGGCTGGGTGCTAGCGAGTGCGGAGCTTTAAATAAAAAGTGTTTGCAACTGTTAGTTTTATCGGCATTGTAAGCAAAACAAACTGTTGGGAAATCAAGAGCTACTGCGTGCACTCACTGAAGCTCAGCTCACCTTAAGTCCACGTTAAAAAAGGTCGACTCGGGCACTTCCATACAGCTGAGTGAAAGATTCGGCAGAAAGTATAGAAGCTCATTACTGTCAAAGAGTACAGCGGTCTTGCCTGGTGTTAGTTTATGTGCAAATGTAAAGTCATTGCATGCGAAGGACTAGTATAATTAAGAGAATGGAAACGATCTGACAATTGTTCAAACGATTAATAAATAACAAAATTATAAAATTAAATCCATTCCATAGTATAAAGCCAAGAACCTCGAATACATTCAGAGATTCAAAAACGAATGCGTTTTTGACAACAACGCCCATGCTAATGCCCCAATAAATGGAAGATTATCTCAATTGCCCCCAATACATTCGGGGATAAATATCATGCAAATCATAAACCGGCACACTCCCCACAAGACTCAACGACATCCTCAAAATCTTCATCTCTTGAGTTGCTATCTCCATCCTATTCGTTTATAAGATCGCTCTCTTCGTGAATTTTGGTGCTTTTGTCATTAGATGTATCCCCAGTCTCCAAAGCATGCCATATGCAAAAGAAACTTGCAAAACTCCAAATCTACTAGAGTTATCAAGAACCAAGAATCGTCAAAAACGGTAGCACAATGGTGATCTGAAGCACTACCTACATGAAGTAGTGATAATATTCCGGCGGAGACGAATATCATTGGGGGAGGGAGGCAAGTCCCTCTTCAAAGAAACGCTTTGTCTCCATGATTGCACTCAAAGCTTTCCTTCTTGGGTTGATGATTCCCAATATGGATCAGGGCTTTAAATGCAAGTATTCGAAGCACCTAAGGCTGGCACTAGGTTTAGTTCTGTTTAGGAACTACATGGAAAAGAAGTATGCGACGATTTGATAACCACAACATAAGTCACGCCATAGTGAAGGAATTCAACATTACAAGCCAAATAAAGAATCTTTCTATGCTTCGCAAGCCAGGGGCCTTTGGATCAAACAGATATTAAGTATCTAAAA